CTGTTCTTTGAACAGTCAGTACTAAGCCCATGTACGGTTTTAAGTACCATTCCAATGGAGAGAAAACTACCATCACACTACCATCAAACTCTAACCCTGTGACTGAGAGTATCACTTAAATAGAGGAAAGACATGTTACACTACCATCACACTCTAACCCAGTGCTAGTTTGAACTGTTTGACTTAGTGAACAAGTGTATCAATGTATAGAATCACTGGGGTCAGTCTTATAAGGTGGGGGGGGGGGGGGGGGGGGGGGATCTAACCAATTATGTACAAAAGCGCTTTCTACTGAAAATAAAAATAAAATTGGTTGCAACAGAACAGTAAGTAATGAATAACTAAAATAATGAAGCTGAAATGGCCTTGTGGTCAGCGTTTGTACCTTACTGTAGGTTAATGTGGGCATACATCTGACAGATTTTACTGCCTATATTGTTGGATGTGGGATATGACTGGAGTGTCATCATAGACAAAGACTTTGAGCTACAACTTTCATTTGCTAGGTGAGCATTTTTATAATGAAGGCAAGAAAAACAGGGAATTGAGACAAAAAACTTTGTAATCTATTTCAATGAAATAACCATTAATAAACAATTTAAAACATAACTAAAATATTTTCTTTATTCGTTGCTTTGAGGAAATTTTATTTTAAAGAAATGGAATTTCTAACCCAATGTTAAGACCCTGCTCGCATTTCCAAAAGAATGACAGAAATTAGGCTCAAGCTGAAAAAAGGGGACTGTCACTTGTATGCACTCTTCTATCTACTTATCTGTCCCTATCTGTAACAAGTATCTTTTTGATCATTTTTTTTTCCATTACACTCTGTTCTGTCATCACAGTGATAAGTTAAACATGTCCATTCTTCAATTTTATATTCTCAAAATTTCTTCTACCTGCCTTTTTTTGTATGCCAATACATTTAGCGCTTTAAACAATTTGGAGCTTAATTCAGACATTTAAAAAAAAAAAAAATTGTATTCACCATACGGATAGCAGGAATATTAATATAAAAATTACATTTGATATAAAAATTGCAATTTGTTTTTTAAGTGTAAGGATCGCAGTATATTTTTTGTAACATATGCATGCACACACACACATATATATATATATAAATTTAAATAAATATATATATATAGGGATAGATATATATTTCAAGAAACTGGTGCTTCTTTGTACACTCCTCACTTCCTCTGCCAGAAAACCTGCCTACGCCACTTTCATATTTAAACTTCTTGACTTATATAGTAACTTAGTGACTATATTAAAGGAAAGTTAGAAAAAGAAAAACTTGAAGAACTTCTTCAAATTTTATACAGTGTCAGCTGTCTGTTTGAGGCATATCTTGTCTCTCAATTTTGACCCACCTCTAATGCAGTAATTTTTCAAACTTTTCAGATTAATTTGTGTACCATGATAACACAAGAAGATATAATATTTTATCAAACTAAATATAGAAAGTCTTGAGTTCAGATCCTGGGCTCAAGTCAGTAGGATGTCCCTGAGTCCACCCAGCTGTGATGGGTACCTGGCTCACATTAGGCAATGCTTAGTCGGCTGGGCGACCACACTATCCTATTATATGCTGAGGTCATTGAATTAGTAATTACAAATTAATTCAAAGATTACCTAATTCAATTTTTTAAAGGGGAGATAACAAGAATAATTAGCAGTAATCAAGTGATCAGTTGGTGAGCTGTATTCACTGAAGTTTTCATGCTAAGGATCCCATTTATTAGCACACAATTGCTGCTTGAGCTATTGATCTGGATCTACAGCATCGGCCTTTTTGTCAGCATGAAAGATGTTTCAGGGGGCAGAAGGGGAGTGGAATGAAACACAATTATATATTCCAATTATATATTCCAATGCTGTTTAATATTAGCCACCTCCTCCAATTTATAGTCTAATTTCATTCAGCTCTAAAAAACACTTTATTAGTATTAAACATTCACTACTGTAAGTTAGGGGGTACAAATCGCTTTTATAGGCTGCAGTTTTAATTTAATTTGAAACCTGCAAACATATACAGTTCTAAAAAGCTAAAATGTTTTGATCTGTATAGTATGTCATTAATAATTTGCAATTCCCTGGTCGTAACAAGCACATGTTCAACAAAGAAAAACATTCCTAGTTTAAGATTAAATACGTATGAAGTTGTTAAAAATTAAGTGTAAACCTACTTACAAAATAACAGTCAACTATTTTTCACACAATGTCACGTTTGCTTCCCATTTCCTCAAAGTCTGAAAAAAAAATGTGTATAGACTGATGAAGGAACAATGAAATGGAAAATATAATAGTCTATAAATTGATATATTTCTAGCTATGAGTGCTTCTGAATATAAGTCTAGCTCTAGGCGTATCTAGTAATAATTATAGGCTAAGGCTATTACCACCCGATTGGGAATAGCCCCAATACAGCTATTCCCAGTCGGCCATAATTTCATGCTAAATATTACTGGAAATAATATCTTATAATAACAAAAGCATTTACCACTAATGGGAGTGAGGTTATAAATTAAGAGAGCAGTGATATTTCTATTTTGTAATATTTTTATAAGAAAAAAATATTATGGTTTTAGTTTAGTAGGTTAGGTTCATATCTTCTACATAGATGATCCAATTCCATAATGCATTCTAAATTTAAACTAAGTAATCAGGGCTTAAATACTATTTTTAAGTTCAATTTATTAATTTTACACCAGTTAGCAGTTTACATTGCTATTCAAATGTAATTTACCATTTTAAAATTCACATTGAAAAAAATCAGTTGAAATAGCTCCATATCATTACCTTTTTACTTTCTCGTATACAGAGTATAGAGGAAGTAAAATAATCATACATAAAAATCACATGAAATTTTGACGGTTTTCATAGTTTTACACCTCAGTACTTCATCATATACAGAATATAGGGGACTTATTTTAATCGGGGAAAAATAATAAATGCAGATTTATCAAAATCTCAGCGTTTTATGCGTAATCGAAAAACTCGGCTTTGTAATTTTGTCTGTGTGTGTTTGTGTATCTAAGGGATGGGGTGGGTTTTTTTTTGCTGCAAATATGCCAATAATCATGTCACAAGCAACAATTTTTTAAGGAAAGTAAACTTTTCATGAATAACAGCAAAAAATGAAAATTGGATATTGCAATGAATGCCATACAGTGGCATACAGATAGTGAGAATTATAAAATCAAAATTGCAAGTATAGCAGTATATTTTTTAAACACACGCATGCACACACGTGTATGTGTATAAAAATGTATATAAATACATATAAAGATAGAAGATAGGGATTTGATTATATATATTTAGATATATACTAGATCTAGATATGATCTACTCTAGATCTAGTAGTTGTGTCTATACTACATCTTCTAGATTTTACTTCTCTAGTCAAATGTGGAGAATCTATGGGGTCATCCATACATGACGTCACACTCTTAGGGGGGTAAGGGGAGTCCATAATTTTGTGACGTTGTGTGATGAGGGGGAGGGGGTTTCAGATGGTGTGCATCACACTTTTGCATTATAAAAAAGCAATGTTAGAGAACGAGTTTTAGCCGATGGTTCGCATTTTTAGAAAACGGTTTTAATAAATTGTAATAGGAATGGATCAAAATACTCTATGCTGACAGAGTTTGGACAAGATTTTGGAAAAATATCGATGTTTTAAGTAAAGTTCAACAGCAATTTTGAGGGGGTTTGTAGGCTGTGTGACGTCATTTTAGGGGGGGGGGGGGTGTCTGGCTTTTTGAGACGTGTGACAGGGGGGGGGGGGGTAAAAAAATTGTCCAAAAAAAGCGTGACATCATTTATGGATTACCCCTATTCTAGATCTTGACTCTAGTATTATTCTAGCATAACAGTTAAATTCTCTAGACTCTTTCTTATCTAGATTCTAGCTAGATCTAGAAATATTCTAGATCTAGATCTTTAGACTTTAGAGAATAGTTAGTAGTTACTAAGTTAGACTTAGATCATTAGAGTTTAGAGTATGCTAGAATTTAGGCTAATATATAGAGATATCTAGATTCTCCTAGATCTATAGTACTCGTGACGTAGACCTAGTCTAGTAACGTAATCGGGTAATCTATCATGTACGAAAAAGTTACCTCATTGTCAAAGCTTTAATAGAAGTATATTGTGATATATTTGTGTCATATATTATAGATCAGGGGTCTCCAAACTATGGCCTGCGGGCAGGATGTGGCCCTCTGGCTGAAAAGTTTGGAGACCCCTGTTATAGATAAATGAATAATAGACCTAAATCAACGGCTACATATATCAATACAGGCAAGAAATTAACTTTAAGCAGCAGTGTTTGCGAGCAGGATTTGCTATGTTTCTGTAAGATAGAGTGGCTTCCCCTGAATCTTGCGCTATAAGTTTACAATAAAAAAAAATAAACAAGAAAGCTGCTATAGTAAATGAGCATGGTTGCATCTGTTGGAAACATCGCTAGTCTTCATTTATTACTGAAAAGTTTTAATTCCATTGTTTAAAAACAGGTAGAGGTACATAAATGAAACAAGGAAACATTTTTGTATTTTTCAAAACATAAATCCTCCTGAAAATGTGTGAAATAATTATTAAAATTTAAGGAGTCGCGGGCGATTTTTTTACGTAGCCTACCTAAAATGATAGATTACCCGGACCCGTAATCACTAATCAGTATGGTTGTTTAATGGGTAATCTATCGTTTTGGGTACGTAAAATCGCCCGCGGCTATTTATGTACGAAAACGTTACCACATTGTCAAGGCTTTAATAGAAGTATATTGTCATACTTTTGTGTCAAATATTATAGATAAATGAATAATAAACCTAAATCAATTGCTAAATATATCGATATAGGCCAGAAATTAACTTTAAACAGCAGTGTCTGAGAGCAAGATTTGCTATATAAACAGCAGCCATTTGTAAAATAGAGTGAATTCCCCCTGAATCTGGCGCTAAAAGCTTATAAAAATAAAACTTAGAGAAGATGGCTGCTATAGTAAATGAGCATGATTGCATCTGTTGGAAACATCGCTAGTCTTCATTTATTACGGAAAAGTTTTAATTCAATTGTTTAAAAACAGGTACATAAATGAATCAAGGAACCATTTTTAATTTTTAAAAACATAAATCCTCCTCAAAATGTGAAATAATTATTAAAATTTAAGGAGTCACCTGTTTTTCACATTACAAATCGCGGGCGATTTTACGTACCCAAAACGATAGATTACCGTTTAATGTTAGTTATCTAGATGTAGATTCTAGATCTAGATCTAGACGTCTAGATCTAGGCCTACTATAGTATATCTAAATTATCTATATATCTTTATTATCTAGATCTAATCTAGAGTAGATAGATCTAGAGTTCTAGACTCTAGACTAGATCTAGATTCTATGACAAATTGAAATTCTATAGGAGTCTAAAATAAAGCAAAATCTAAAGATAAACTGAGTTTAAATTTATCATTAATATTAATAAACTGCACGCTATTTTATTCAGAATGAAAAGTAAAATTACTGCGTACAAAATGTTATATGATCTATAATCTAGATGCTTATTAGATCTAAATAGTAGATCTATTACTATTAAATAATCCATATTCTTATTTAAAAATCATAATTTGGAATTAGTCGACGTCACTCACATAAACTTCGTAAAGTCATACTATGCCGCCATGTTTATGTATTCCAAACCGTGTTTTCAAGCTAACTTTATCATGTTTCTTGATGCTCCCGTAATGATTCACTTAATATATGGATTGTTTCACTATACAAATGTAAATAATCGTGTGTACAATATTTTAATTAATAAAGTAACACACCTAATATAATCTAAAAGGTCAGTTTAGTTTTGAGGAATACTATTGTTGCTTTTATTTTCATCTAACTAGAGACTAGACTATAATAATCAGGTGAAGGTAAGGGGTTCATGAATATTCTTTACTTGTCCCAGTCCTCTAAAATTCTGCGAACAGCATTTTGATTGGCTATCTTTTGCATTCAACTAAAAGTGTGAGCCAATGATTATAACCAACACAAAATGTATTTCGAATGAGATGGGGGTTTCCCCCACATTCTTTAGCCGGAGACCGGAGAAGCAGATTAAGAGAGTGTAACCGTAATAGTAGAAATAAACGCTTTTTAAATTATTTATGGTCACAGGGAGCCATATGGCATACTATTATCACATTAAAAATGTATTTAAGGTCTTAGTAAACAAATGTAACATTGTTTAATACATGCTGGGGCGATATTTGACGACTATGACGTCATGCTATTATTTTGTGACAAGAGGTCATTCAAAATGACGTCAAATTTGTGTGTGTGTGTGGGGGGGGGGGGGGGGGCGGAGTGGTCCGTAATTTTGTCACAAGAGGTCATCCATAAATGACGTAACGAGTTTTGACGATTTTTACCCCCCCCCCCCCTTTCCGTCACACGTCGTCACAAAAAGCCAGACCACCCCCTAAAATGACGTCACATCTCAGCCTACGACCCCCACCCCTCAAAATTGTGTGTCTCTCTGTGTGTGTAAACACGATAACTTGAGTATCGTTACAGCCAGGTTGATGAAATTTCATATATAAGTATTATATCAAAATCGTAGATCCGTATCAACTTTTCAGCGATTTCCGATAACCGGAAGTGGAACTTTTTCTACTTTGAATTTTTCAAAAGCCTACAATTTGAGTAATTTTCCAGATAGATAAATGAAATTTCACATGGAAGTAAAAGATCTAATTCTCTGCCTTCTGTCAATTTTTTCTTCCTCGTTTGCGTTGTTCGTTTGAGCGTAGCACATGATAATGGTGGCACACCGCCTTGAAGTGATGGCTTGTGTGCCGAAGCTGCCCACAGAGATATGCCGGCGGGAGCCTATAGTGCTTCTGGTAGGTTTAACCAAGTCGGACAGATCTACGCGGGCAGGGGCCAGACCAAACGTTGTGTCCTGGTCATCCAGGTAGGAGGTTGTGCAATGGGCTAACTAGTCGTCCACATAAAACAAAATAGAGTTACAAAAACGTAGCCAAAACTGAAATTAACCCAGTCGTCGGAAGAACCAGGGTTCCAATTTGTAGAAATATGACGCATTGCAGCCAAACCCGCAAGAAAGCTACAGAGCCGACGCCCTTTCTTCAACCAAGGAAAACTATAGACTAAAGCCTACTAATCGTTGGTGGTAAATTGCGAAACAAAAATGTCATGTGGAATGCTGTTTTTGCACTCATCTCGCATTTTACTGCCTTGCCATTTCGCCTTTCGCAATTTACCAAGACCCCGGAAAGATGGGCGTTAGTTTTTGGTTCAAAGTACATTCGACAACCAAGAGCTAGAGCTAGACTAAATTCTAGTCTAGAATCTAAATCATCTAGATCTAGAGTTAGATTAGTGATGTGAAAGATAGTAATAATAGTATTATTAGGCCCTGGCCCTATATAAACTTTAAGTATAAACTATAGGTTAGGCTAAATACTAGATTCTAGATCTTAATATTTAATATATAATATAATAAATATTAAATAGTAAATAGAACTAAGCCTAGACTAGACTAGAGTCTAGGTAATCCCTTAGTTTAGCGTCGGAAATTATCGGGTAATGTTTGTTGAGTTTCGGTAAATAGAGTTACGGTAAACCATGGTTTATTTGACCATTGAAATATAAATAAATTGAAAGTCGATTGTAGTAAATTAATGTTTTAATTTTTTAAGTTTAATCGACAAAAGGAAACAAGAATAAATATAATAGTAGATTTAAATTAGTAGATCTAAAAATAAAAACATATATAAATATAAATAATGTATCAAATGTAATAATTTAATGTTTTTGGCTTGCAGCGGATTTGCGACCATTAATTAATTAAATCTAGATCTAGCTAGATATCTAGCTGCTAGGCCAAGTAAAAAAATCTAGATTACGAAAATAGTAAAAATGATTACAAAATGTAAAAATGATTACAAAAATAAATCTATCCAAATTTTAAACATTCTGTTTAAAAATAAAAGAAGACGCCAAATAAAGTATGGTTTACGGTACTTCCGGTGAATTCCGGAAGTGTGTGACAGACTTTGTTATTGTTTTACTGTTTTTTACTGCTATACGATTCCGGAATAATAACCGACGCTAAACTAAGGGATTACCTAGAGTCTATACTTAACTAATTATATTATTATATTAATACTATACTATTTATTTAGTAGGCCCTATTTAATTCAACAGTAAAACTGCTACTAGACTACTCAACTACTGCACTAGGTCCATCTGGCGGTGTCTTGGCGGTTAAATGGCACGGGGTGCCTCTGGCTCCCCTGTGAGCACTATGGTGCCTGAGTTAGTTTTAAAAAAAGCTAAAAACTAAGGACACATTTGGCCTAGAATAATTGTTGATTAAATTGAATCAGGAGCATCCTCCGTCGTCTTGGCAGGGGGCGTTTCGGTGCCCGAGCTCCCCTGTGAGTAATATGGCGCCCCTACATTAGTTTAAAAGAGTGTGATACTCTAAATCGAATCAGGCATGTCCTCTGGCAGTCAGGAGCAACCTGCCTACATTAACATTTGTTTTACAGAGCGCCCTACAATAGTGCCACAATGTACAACTACATTCAATGATAAAAACCGAACTAGGCAACGACACCCTTGCAGCGTTTTATTAGTGAATTTTGAGAGCACCCAATGACGACCCTGATAATCAGTAATATTTAATTCAGTTTGAATGGAGAAAACTGCTTTGCGCTATGAGCAATTTGACTAAACAAATTAAACTTTTACTCAGTATACCATTGTATATATATACATATATACATATATATATATATATATATATATATATATATATATACATATACATATATATATATATTAATATATATTGATATAAATTGTACTGTTTAGATTCATATTGCTAAATGATGCAATTTTGCAATGCTCAGTGCCATGTATCACAGCTTGATAATATTCTGCCTTTCCTTCACTTGACCTTTTTTTTTTTTTTTTTTAAATAAAAATAATTTAGATATACATAAACTATAATAGTAACAAAACATAATCTGCTGTTTTATTCTGATTAGAAAGAAAAGTGCTGACATGGATGGACCAATTACAGATGAAGATGTGATTGAGAAGGTATCATCTTATGACATCAGAAAGTTGGAACCCTATCCTGAGTGTGGAGGACACTTGACAAGAGCTGCTGTTTTACTGCCTTTAACAATAAGGAATGGAGAAGTTTTTATTTTGCTTACAAAACGTTCTGATAAGTTGAGAAGACATCCATCAGCTGTATCTTTTCCTGGTGGTTTAAGGGATAATTCTGATTCATCTGATATTGTGACTGCACTGAGAGAAGCAGAGGAAGAGATTGGCTTGTTGTCTTCAAATGTAAGAGTAATAGCAGTGTTAACCCTAGGTTTTACATATCCTAACACAGCAGTGTATCCAGTGGTTGGCTTGATTCCTAGTGACTTTGTTCCAGTTCCTAACCCTGCTGAAGTTGAATTTGCATTTTTCATGTCATTAAAACTATTTTTAGATGAAAACCATGTTTCATATTCAACATACAATGTTTTAGGGCGAACAGTTTTAAGTCGTTCATTAACTTATTGTGATGGAAAAAGATTGGCTAACGTCTGGGGATTTACAGCTAATTATTGCACATTTATTGCAAAAGTTATTTACAATCATAATGAGTTTTTATCTGTTTTTGATGATGTCGAAGAAGAAACTAAGCCTAAAAAATTAGATGCTGGGTTAGTGGATTATTTTAATTATGCTTCAGAAACACTTAAGGCAAAGCTGTAACTAGTGTAACTATTTTTATTGAATGATAAGTTCATTAAAAGTAAAACAGATTTTAAAATGTTATTAATATTTTTTAAATGTTCAATTCTAAATACTGCTGTTGATTTGACAAATTTTAATCTTTATTTTTAAAAATAAGTTTCTAGTCACTGACCAACAATAAAATAACAATAGAAAATATTAGCAAAACTCCCTTAAACTTTCTTGAACATATATAAAAAGCACTGTATGTATGTGCATCTGTCTGTCTGTATGCATTACTACACCTTTCATCCAATCACCATAAAACTTTGGGAAGTTGTTGAGAATACTCCTGGGGAGGTTTCTGCAGAATTTTTTTTTTTTCAAATTAGCAAGGATGGTGCCCCGGCATGGCACGATTCAATACCTCTCTGTGTAGAGTATATAAAAATAAAAGTTGATTGCAGTTTGGCACCATTCATTCGATCACCATGAAACTTTGGGGAGTTGAGAACACTCCAGGGGAGGTTTCTGCAAAAAGATATTTTTTTATTTCACTAAGGGTGGGTGCAATTTTTGTTACGTTTTGGTGCCTAGAGTTCCAGAGCGGTTATCGTAGCACTTGGGATCTGTTAATCGGGCATCCTGCATAGCAGGAATGGAGCACTACCATTTTCAGCGGTAAAACTGCAACAGATGCAGCCACCGGCGCCCCCGTGATTGCATGTCCCTAAGCGCCCTGAGCTTTCCTGTGAGCACTATGGCAAATATGGTCGTTTTAAAATAAAAATTATATACTAAAGACAGGATGGGCAACAATAACCGTTGACTATATTGAATCAGGCTGTCCTCCGGCACCGGCTGAGGGCAATTTGGCACCCCGGGCTTACCCTTGAGCACTATGACACCTACCTTCATATTAAATAGCGCTATAGGGTTGCTATAGTTTCTCACTAAATTGAATCAGGCCTGTCCTCCGGCTCCCCGCAGGGTGCTATTTGGATCCCTGAACGTTCCCTTAAACGCTATGGTGCAATTAAAAATCCTAGAGCAGAATAATTTTTTAGAGATTGGCCCAAAATGTAGATTTGTGTGCTTCGTTATGGTGCTTAAATTGCAAAAGTGTAGTAGTTTAGGGAATCAAAAAAATATAAAGTTTTAATAACAAGCTTTAGTGCATAATTATATAAAACTAAAGCTTGTTATTTAAACTTTTTTTAATCATGTTTTTTTCAGTAGGCCTACGATAAAATTTTTCAATACAATAGAGTTGCATGGCTAAAACAATTGCGTACCAATTTATGAACACAAAAATTGTGCGGAAAATAGCACTTTATGTAGGAAAATAAAATTTGGCATCCAATTAAGTCAAATTTGATGTCAGATTGCTTGGTCATTGGGTGTTGACCCACGTGCAAAGTTTGAAACGAATCGGTCAGTTAGAAGTGCTCAAAATTTTGCTCGCCTGTTTCAATCTATGATGACAGAAAGAAGACAGAGGAAGCAAGATGCAAATTTGAAAAGTGGGGATAGTTTCAAGAACAGAACGAAGTAGACTATCATAAACAAAAGAGCATTAGAATAATGATATTTTCTTCCGAAGAGCACACAGAAATTATATCCTTTTGTGATCAATCTATTTTCAATCCATCCTACAACTACAAAACAAAAAAAAATTATCCGGTGCGGGGGAGCCCGACACTGGTAAAAGTATAATATATTTTCTATATAAATTATATTTCGTTTTATAGGGGAGGGTGGAGGTTTAATGGGCTTTGCCCATACCCGAAGAGATGCATGAAAGAAACTCTGCAAGCAAAGCACTTTTTAGATTCGATACATGGGCTTTATTGTGCAAAGCTTGCTATTCCTGCTTTTACAAAGGGAAAAAAACAATTATCTGCATTTGAAGTAGCTGAGACAAGAAAGATTGCAAATGTAAGGATTCGTGTAGAAAGGGTAATAGGGTCAGTTAGACAAAAATTCAAAATTTTAAGTGACACTCTACCATTGGATTATTTAAATACAAGGGGCAATCCTTTAATAGATGATATAGTGACAACTTGTGCATTGATTAATCTCTGTCCATCCATTGTGCCTTTTGATTAATTAATATTGTAATTTTTGAAAAATAATCACATTCACATGTGGCATAATCTAAACTTTCAAATTGATTGATTATTTATTCAGTACATTTATTTAAAATGCACTTTCATTGTTGCCAATGAATTTCCTCACACACTGTAAAGTTGCTAGTCTTTCAATGTATCTAGTCTTTCAATGTATAAACCATAACAATGTTACATTATCATTGGTACCACTTGAGCATTTAACTTTTAAATAAGAATAAAAACAAAAACTTTTCATTTTATTTTTTATTTATAATTATTCAGATCAGGCTTTTTTGTTTTTGCCAATGGCAAGCCAACACCCATAGTAGTACCAGTTGCCTTTTTATTGGTGAAGTGGCATGCCAAGAGCTCAGGCAATATAATTTTCTGAAAAAATTCTGCTGCCTTTACAGAGATGCTTGACCAGAAGTTGCTGTCAAAAAAAATTCTTTCTATATGAACATCTTTTGTTGTCCATATTATAAAATCCCCATATGACGACTTGGTAGCTGCCATTTGGGTTTGGATTTGGTAGTAGTAGCGGTGTGTGCTACTTAATTGTTTATTTGATCCGAGACCAATGTTTTTGGCCTCCTTTTTGGATACGTCATCCATCATTTTGTCTTTTGTACATGATGGAAATTTGATCTCAACCACCCCATGTCCACAGCAGTCACAGGTAACCAGACCATCTGGAGAGGCTCCTATGTAGTGCACCTCAGGATGAACTACTAGTCCACTTTTTGTTATTTTAAAATTCCTGTGCTTGGGCCCCGCGATTTGTGCATATTGTTGTAATGCACATCTTTCATGTTGACAACCCCATTTCATGCCAGCTGATCTGTATGTTTGTTGCTTAGGGTAACATACCTGTTTAATGAGGCACAGTGATGGCTGCGCCAAGTTTGTGTTGCAACAGACTTGCATTCTGGATGCAGTAAAGTGCCCAGCTCTTTGTCGAAACAAGTCTTTTGAATTTGATTGATCTCTAGTTGCGGCTTCAATAGCCTGCCGAGTACTCTAATTGAAATTCCAACATAAACTGTTCCCTACTTCCACTAACTGGGTGTAGCCTAAGTGTGTGTATTTTGTGTCAAATAGTGTTGTGAGTGGGGCTGGTAATGATGTTGGTGGAAATTTGAATGTGTGTGAGTGTTTAAGGACTGATAGGTGTTCCAAAAATGTGTCTTTTTGTAGTGGGGCAGATTGTATTATTTTACCTACAACTATTCCTGGTGTGTGAGTGATTGGCTGCTTGTCTAACTTGATTTTCTTTGTTTCTGGGGTATCAAAATCTGTATCTGCCACCTTCAGATAAGGGACTTTTTGTAGGTACGGAGGGAGAATCCACTGGCAACTTCTCTGAGTGGTAGACTCATTATCCATTAATCTACAGCCAACCTCTATGGCAAACAGCAAGGCTCCTACATGGGAACATGACTCTCCAAGTCCAGCCATGCAGTTGCAGTGGGCAGACAAAATAACTCCACTTGGCTCACAACAAACCCATGGCTCAACAGGTTTTTCTGCTGCCTTCTGTGAATGCTTCACCTGCAAAATAAACCAAGTACTAATAATATTAAATCCACTGTTTAAAAAATAAACAAGTCAAGCTTGAAACATTACAAGTGAAATGTTTTAGAATAATAATTTTGATTAGTGCTTTCCCTGATAAGCCATGTGTGTTAAAAATGACATAACATGACATGAGGTGAGAAATGTTGAGGGGAGATCAGTGGGATTGATTTCCCCTTTGTTCTCCCTTCTGGGCCCTGAGGGTCATAAATTATAATATAGGAGATGCTATCTCTGGTTGGCTGAGATCTAAGAACAGTAATCCCTGTGGGGGCTGAGTAACATAGAAGTGAGAAATTTCCAGGGGAGGACAGTTGTACTGACTTCTCTAAGATCTTAGAACAGTAATCCATGTTACCTACAAAGAGATGAAGTTTTATGGTGGGCTAGAAAGAGGTGGGGGGGGGGGGGCTGGGCATCACGGAGGTTAAAAAAAATTTGAGGGTGGAAAATCAGTGTTAATCAGTATTACCCATGACGTATAATAGCCGTGTTAGTGTGGGTTTTGTAGGAATTAAGTGGTCTCACGTTTGTTACAGTAGTGTGGTTCTACGAGATCTAGGCCTATTGCTACTAAATCTCGTACTTAACTAGAGAATCTAGAATCTACACTAACCAGATCTAGACAATCTATATTACTGCATTTTATTATATTCTTCTACTTAAACTCTAAACGCAAACAGTAATACTAACAGTATTTGATTCAGGATAAAACCATTTAAAATACTACAGTATAGTATAGTCAATAGTACAGAAATAGCATTAACTTACTTGTGCAACAACAACCACTTTACTTCCAAGTGCTCTGCATTTTATTTTTGTGACAAGCCCATCAGTAAAATAGACGTAAGATTTCAGGCTCTTGTAATTTTTCATCTGCTCTTGTGTTATGAGGTTCGTTGAAAACACAAAATAATTTACAATGTCCATATTCTGAATTGTTGGCCACATATATTTATTCATCCACGCAACTGTCAACACCAATATATGGATCCTCAATGCCTAAGAGTTCAAGTTTTTAACGTAACGTTCCTTTTCCGCGGGTGCAAGGTTCTTTACGTACAGCGAACACATTTTGAGACACGTCCAGCGCTGGTGAACAGCTGATTGTGTTTAATGCTAGTGTACACCACTGTGGCGGCGGGCGTAGGTATCACGTGATTTAGGTCACGTGTTTGCAAGGATTATAGTATAGATCTAGTCACTTTATATAGGCATATATGATATATATTATATTAACATATATTCTTTATACTATACATTTAGTATAAAACCAGTTTGAAATTAAAGGCATTTAAAGGATAGCAGAGAGAGGGTATTATTAATCCAGAGCTAGAATCTAGTATTATTTTTTGTAAGTCTCATCTGTGATGAAATTCCGTAAATGAAAATGTCTTAAATTATATAGAGGAAAAAATAAGTTCATTAGGACCTACTCCCGGCCTAGTTGTTTTCAATCTTTCACATTACTACTACTAGATTCTAGATCTACTAGCTTTGGAAGACTATTTTACGTGCCTAAATCGAGATAGATTACCAAAATTACGAGAGCTAAAAATAAAATTTTGTCAAAGGCTTTTTAATTTAATTATATGTTAGTTTGAGGTACATGGAATTATCACTAAAAAGCAAATATATGAAACTGCTAGCAACTCTGTTACAACTTACAAGGCATATTTATAGAAATTAGGCCTAATGGTAGAATCAGATCTAGATCCTAGATTTGGTTGTCAAAGTTTATCAATTCTGAAAACTCCTATTGTGTGATTTTTTAAAGAATGGATTTAATCGTATCTGAATCAAATTTAGGATCATTTGTACCCAAACATTTGCTGTTATATCAAGGAGATCCAGGGCTAGAATCTTATTTCAGGTGAGTACTGAGTACACCGGCCACAACGGTGGGACGTTCTGGGGGGTAATCTATCGTTTTGGGTACGTAAAATCGCCCGCGATTTGTAATGTGAAAAACAGGTGACTCCTTAAATTTTAATAATTATTTCACATTTTGAGGAGGATTTATGTTTTAAAAAATTCAAAAATGTTTCCTTGATTCATTTATGTACCTGTTTTTAAACAATTGAATTAAAACTTTTCCGTAATAAATGAAGACTAGCGATGTTTCCAACAGATGCAACCATGCTCATTTACTATAGCAGCCATCTTGTCTAAGTTTTATTTTTATAAGCTTTTAGCGCCAGATTCAGGGGGAAGCCACTCTATTTTACAAATGGCTGCTGTTTATATAGCAAATCTTGCTCTCAGACACTGCTGTTTGAAGTTAATTTCTGGCCTATATCGATATATTTAGCCATTGATTTAGGTTTATTATTCATTTATCTATAATATTTGACACAAAAGTATGACAATATACTTCTATTAAAGCCTTGACAATGAGGTAACGTTTTCGTACATAAATAGCCGCGGGCGATTTTACGTACCCAAAACGATAGATTACCTTCTGGGGTAAACCTCCATTTTAGCGTATTTTATTCCCCGCTTCACGTTCACCTCCAGTTGAGCGTATTTTATTATAAACTACTTATTTTTTTTAATGAATGTGATTTTTAATTAGAAAAGGTAAAAAAAAACATAAAAAGTAGTTTTTCTCACTAAATCTAGAATTTACGCAATTATCAATTTAAACATGACCACTGAATAATAGACATCCATATTTAATCCATTAGGCACTAACTTTGGAGTTTTTAGTTCGTTTTGAACTAAATTAGTTAATTTAATATTTATTCAGTTTATTGTCAATCACTGCCATGTCCAACACATCTCTCCATGACTCCATGACAACTCTTCTAAAGCTTGAAGCTAAAGAAAACCACAAATCAGGTTAGACTCCATGCACAAGAGTTCCTCACTAGTGATCACCAAATAGCGGTCACGTGGTTTTTAAAAAATAAAAATAAATTGGTTGTGATACGGACGCCGGTCTTATAAAAAAACAGCTCACAATATTTGATTTCTTTTTTCATAGACTGATAAAACTAATAATGCTTTACGTTCTCGCTCATTTCTGTACCTACACTGTTGATATTTTTTAAATTCTATTAATTTTAATGAAACCAACTTTTGAATTTAGCCTCCGTTCTCCAAACCAAATTTTAAAATGCTTTTCTGGCATATCTAACCCTGCCACTTATGGTTTGTTGTTATGACACGGAAATCCCGCCATTTTGCGCGTGGTAAACATTTTTAAATGTAATTAGTTGAAGGTCTCTGGAATTTGGCTGAAAAATCACCGGAAATCAAACGTCCGGTCCGGGCGCCATATTGTTGTTAGCAACCGACCACGCCTCCAAGTTAGCGAGAAATACTAATAAAAAGCATTAGAACTGTTCCAATTAAATATCGAATCTCGTGTAATCGTCAGCGGGAGAAAAATCCTTACACGGTCGCGGGTTCACCGTGAGTTCACATTGACATTGAATTATCAGCATACGTCATAGCTCGGGCAATTGCTATTAGAAATTGTGTTGGCCTCAGTTTTGGGGTCATTGTAAGTTCATTAATGTTTATTTATAGTATCATGCCTGGGAGATACTTGTAACAATACAAACTTAACCGTCTTGCAATTGTGAGTTACGTTTACGTACTTCACCCATTGCCATGAAAATTCTGACACACGAACATTGCACATTCAATATTCTAAATTTGGATTTTTCTCAAGTTTTAACTTTAACAAAACTAAATTATCAAAATCTAAAACAAAGTCAGTCTCTTTGTTTTTTTAATTCATTTTTATTAATTTGTTAAAACAAAAATACAATACAAATAAATAATAAATGAATCGTGTTTTCCTAATGTTTTGGTGTGTTTCGGTCGTTATAATAAAATACGCTCAACCGGAGGTAAACAAGCAGCGGAGAAATAAAATACGCTAAAATGGAGTTTTACCACGTTCTGGTCGGGATTCAAAGGGACGACTCGAAATATCATCCAAAAAATCTAATCTATATAATATTTATTGTTTATAGGGCCTACTTCTAATAAAGACTGAAATATAAGTAAGTAGAAACTAGAAAGCGTTTGTTTCCAATCCATTAGCTAACTCAGTAACTGACTCAGATCTAGATCTAGTTTTGGGATAAAATACTGAAAAAAAAAAGCAATCACTCACTAATCTGAGTAATCAGGATAACACCAATGCAGTAGCCCGCTGAAGCATTTATAAATGCCAATAATTTCTTATTCAACATAGTTAAAAATTATTTGTTAGATAGGGCCTATATTTGTTAATGATAATTGTTGACCCTAATTGTAATTTTAACAAAAAATGTTCAGTGAATCTTTAATTGAATTTCAGACAAATTTTGGAAAAAAATTACGAAAAAGGAGTTTGTGAGTATGTTTAAATCAATCTACATTAAATTTATATTTTGATTTTGCTGCATATTTGAAAAGAAAAATCAAATGAATGCTTTTTCAATTTCAGCAAAGTTAAATGCTGATTATTGTCAGATCTGCTATGCACGTTTAATTGGTAAAGCTCACCCACATATCAAGCCTGGCTTGAAAATGACTAGAAAAATTAAAGGGCTTTTGAAAAAATCTGAGTCTAAAGCTTTAGGAAAATGCCACAATCACATATTGCAGAGGTATTTGAACAGCTCTTCACTTATGGTAAGTTTCTGTATTTCTGTTTAGTAAAACTTGTTATTCATTAATTCTTCATTATTATTCATTATAAATAATAGTAAAAATAATAAAATTAAAATAAAAAAGAACTGAGCATAAATCAGTTGAGAGCATGTCATTTCCATAACCACTATGATAAACTTTCTAGTTATATATACTTCATCTGTTGAAATGCATTGCTTTGATATTAAGTTAACTCATTATTTATCTATTTCAATTTAATTAGCTCATGAAGTGTTCTAAATGCCAAAGTATGAATAACATTCCCATCATGACCAATGAAATGAAGTGTCAAATCAAAGAGAGGCTTTGTAAAAGTAAAACTCTTAAAGCCAATTGTTTTTAGTATTTAAAAAAAAAACTGTTACTGTTTTTCAAAAAAATAATTGTGCATCCATTAAAAAGCTTAGAGGTTGTTTTTAGAATCCATTTCAAGTGCTAGTTTAATTGGTTTTTTAATATATATTATTGTTATTATTGAACACTCATTTTTACTTTGTCAATTCCAGCCACTAATGTTTTGATACAAGAATCAGTCACAAATACCAATATCAGCAAAAAAAAGCGAAAAAAAAAGAAAAACAAGAAAGTTGATCCACATTGGTAAAAATTTGATTTTCTTTGGTCTTTTCCTTAGTTTTATTAAAAAAAAAAGTCCAAGACAAACTAAATGGAAGTTTTTATTTTATCACTGACTGTTTTATTATGACAAAAAAAAAAACAAACAACAGAAAGTAATACAAATATTTATTTGCTCAACGACTTTAAACTAAATATTGTTGTAATTAATTTTGCATGCATATATTTTTCAGCATTTCATTAACATGTTTTACTAGAAAATCACAATCTGGTGTATAAATAATTTTTTTTTTTTTTTTTTTTATGTTGAAAGCTGTAGGCTACATGTCTGCATACAATGAAAATTCAGTTAGGTCAAAAATATATAGAACAAATTAAGAAGTATAACATTTTGTTGTAGTAAGCTCTTTAAAAAAAAATTAAAACTTAACCTGTTTTTTTTTTAGTGGTCTTGTTATTCCAACGGTCAAAGATGAACAAGCAATTTCTGCAAATTTTAAAGATGACTATTTAAAAGAGAGTTGTTCTACCCTGGAGTCTCCTCCTTCAAAAGTGTTTAGTATGAATCCATCATTTGTAAATGCCACCAAGGGTACATTTGAAAATAGTTCCAACTCGTCAGATATCAAAAAAATACCAAAAAACAAGAAGACACTACATTTCCAAGCTAATCTAGCTGTCCAGATAAAGGAACAGAAAAACAAACGATTAAAGCAATTTTTGTTGAATGAAAAAAAGACTGAGAAGTCAGCATCTTTAACTGATTTTTTGTCCTCTTTGTAAACTTAATTAGTATATTAAACCTTAACATTAAAAATGTAAACTTTAAAAAATTGTCAAGCTCACCAATAAATATTTTATATTAGAAGAAGCAAAAAAATTGTTGTGTATCTATCAGCCTTCTATATACTACTATTTATTTGAAACCCATTAAGTGGTATCATTTCTTTGGGTGTCACCCGCTCCAACAATTAAATTGATCCATACATATTCAACCTAAAAATTTTTTATGTTAAACACACTAACCTGCATACAAATGTTGAATATTGTTGAATGACAGTGCTCGTGTTTTAAAGAAAAACCATGTTTAATTGATAATTACAGCTGAATATCTATACCAAGTTATTAATCTAAGTATGATTGAAAACATCAGTAGAAGTAAGAACAATAATAAACAATAATAAACTTTATTTAAACTTTATTTAATATAAACTTTATTTTTAAAAAATAATAAATCGACATTTTAATAAAATATTTTAGATAGTAGTACAATATGGAATAAAGAAATAATTAATAGTAACATATTTATATCACAAAGTGGAAAAGAATGATAATAGAATGGAAAAAAAACAGAAAATGAAACGATGACTTGGTTTAAAAGCTCATGAAATAGTGTCTTTTTTTCAGTTTACTAAAACTTTTCCATGCAAAAATATTACCTGCATCTACTATGATGAAAATATATATATATATATATATATATATATATATATATATATATATATATATATATATATATATATATATATATATATATATATATATATATATATATATATATTTATATAAAGTTACTCAAGTGCTATTTTAAAGTTGAAGCATTTTATTAATTTATTTTACTCCTTACATTCCAGATGTTAGTAAATACTAAAAAAAATAGGTATATTTATTTTAACTACTGACATTTCAGAAAATGATCCACATTTTAAATTAATATTTATCATAATATGACTATAGCATATGTAAATGTTTAGCTTAGCATTGCATGAAAGCTACACAGTCCATTCATAGTCCATATACAAGTAATTTAATAATAAGCCTATAGCTCTAGATTCTATATTAAAACTATATTGGAAGTAAGTTTTTAGAGAACTTTTAATTCCACCCCCCCCCCCCCCCACATAACCCATTCGAAGTGGAGGAAAAAACAAAAATGTAATTGATCTGTAGCTTTATATTTTAGGCCTATAATATTGATCGAATTTTATTTTAGATTAAAGGGAAACTACTCTATTATTTAAAAAAAAGGAAGATGGCTGATGTTTTTATTATTAATTATTGTTTGCCTTTGAATATGGTAAAATAAACACAAAACTACACAATACTAGTTTTTTTTAGCGGAGGCGAGCGAGTTGACGAGAATCCTTCTATCATGTTGTTGACATGGAATAAAAACATGTTTTTTTTTTAGATTTAGCAAACAAAGCGACCGTAAAAAAAAAAATGATAATCTATCGTTTTAATAGTTATATAGTAGGTACGTAATCGCCCGCGACTAGTAATGTACGAAAAAGTTACCTCATTGTCAAGTCTTTAATAGAAGTATATTCATATTGTGATACATTTGTGTAAAATTTTATAGATAAATGAATAATAAACCTAAATCAATGGCTAAATAGTAAATATATCTATATAGTATATAGTATATAGATCTAGAAATCAACTTTAAACAGCAGGATTTGCTATATAAAAGCGGCCATCTGTAAGTTAGAGTAGCTTCCCCTGAATCTTGCGCTATAAGTTAACAATAAAAAAACAACGGCAATCTGTAAATTAGAGTGGTTTCCCTTGAATCTCTAACTATAATTTTACAAAAAAAAACTTAAAACAAGATGACTGCATAAGTCAATTATTTATAAATGTCAATTATTATTTGGAACTATTGTAAACCCAGTTTTTTTTTTGGGTCTCTGTGTGTTAGTTTTAATCTAGTAACATTAACTTCAATACATGTTTGGTTAGTTTGACAAAAGTTCATGCTAAACACTTGAATCTAATACTAGGTTTCTCTAAACTTTTGAGCAATTTCCAGTAATCGTAGGTGGTAATTTAATGAGTACAGTTTCAGTTAGGTGGACAAAATTTCATATATATAAGAAGTATTTGATCCTAGATATGTAGGTTTCTTTAAACTAGGGACTTGGATGACGTAGATTTTGCCCCTCTAAAAACGAGAGTTTTTTCCCCATACCGTAACCTAGTGAATTTAGCCGTGCGGCAGTGGGTGATAATTTAAAAAAAAAAAATTTCACTATTAATCACCATTGTTAATAGAAAAGTGTCACTTTATTCTGAAAGACAAATGGATTTCACCGATTGCTGTGTTATTTTTGTTTTTTTCTGCTACCGGTGCGTGATGGTGTGTTTCAGGCAAAAATTGGGTAAGTAAAACTTATTGTTCCATAAAAAGTTACTGTCGCTTTAGGCTAGAAATGCGATCTCCGAGCGTAAACACCATTTTTACATATGTGTTTCAAATTTCATTTAGTTATTCATTAGCGACGTATTTTTTTATAAATAACTTTGAAAGCATAGGGCTTACAACAGCTTAAGATTGCCGGAAAAGATCGATGTTAAAACCGGAAGTGGCGTGTTGTTGTTAATGACACTATACAATGTAAATCTACTTGATTATCTAAATCCAGCAACATCCACATGAATCTGACTCCAAAAGCTTTTTAAATTATCGAATTACATTTGTTATTTATTAAACTTGTTATTTTTGATGACTTTTCATTTGTAGTTTGTTGTTAGATTCATTAATTAGGTAATTTTAGGATTGTAAATAAGATCGTTTTTTTCTCTCAGTTTGCGATGTTTATTTTTTAAACAGTAGATTCTAGATCTAAATTGTTAACTTAAGAATTATATTTAAAAACAAAAGAATGTTAGTTATATTTAGTGTGCTTTTCTATACAAATTTCTTAAATGAACAAGTTAATTTTAAAGCTTAATAGTAGGCCCTATGGCTATTAGAAGTATTTGCATAATAGATGATAGGGCCTAGTATAAATCTACTATAGACCTATTACAGGCTATTACACTTAGTTCAGTGAGTTTGTTGGGACTTAAGGTCTAGTAATATTTAAAAAATAAAATGAATATAGATCTACACAAGTGTTAATATTTAATTCCAAATGAACCATAATATGTATATTTTTATTCGGCCTTCTACTTGATTTTTTAGAGCAAGTTTTTACTTTTTTATTACATAAGTCCTCTTTTTTTATGTTAAACTTGTATAGGCCCTTTTCAATTATAACTCTAGGCATTTTTACTACTTACTTTATGTACATTTACACAATTTTCTGTGTAAAGCTACACTATAATACTGTATTTTTGCTATTTTATATTTTTCAGTTGGAGCTTTACTAGTCTTGGCCCTAGATAAAATGTACCAGTTCAGCAAGGGGATGGAGAATCAAAAGATGTGGATCTACTCATAAGCAACTTCAATGAAGGAGAAATAGGTCCACTTAAGAATGGATGTTGCTGGTTTTTATTACAGTTCTAAAAGCTATCAGTCAGAGGAGACACAGCTTCAGTAGATGTTTGATCAGATTTCATTTTTAAATCATTGATGGTGTTATTTTTTAAAGTAAAAAAGTGACACAAGCTAATAGACTTAAACATGTTATCCACACAGCATGAGGTGTCACTTAAATATATGACAGATGTTTCTTAATTATAAAACTTACCTTTAACATTAAATGGTGATCTTTACTCCACCAAATAAAAAATCATTTCAATTATTAAAATATTTGTTCAACAATAATTGTAAATTAAATTATATCAATTCTATGATAACATACACATAACATGGATGAAATATCATGAATATTGACAACATTTAGATACAATTTTAGTAATCTAAAATCAGTTTAGCATTGTACTTCTTTCTTGCAAAAAAGTAGTTGCGCAGAACAAAAATGACTTTTTAAATTTGACCAACATTGTAACAAAACCACATAAGCTAAGTGAAATATTTTTACTTTGTGTGGATGTATACAATGTTGGCACCAATTAGGCCAATTTTCATTAAGATATTCCATATAATAAAAATTTGACAACAGATTATGTGTTGCCTACAGCAGAATTTATTGTTTAAAATTAAGGGGGGTATATGAGTTTAAACCCCTTTTTCATTAAATAAAATATTTTTAAAATCAAATTTGAACAATGGTAATATCAAAGTATATAATAACCTTCATGTTTACAATATTTCTTGCATATAAGCAAAGTAATCTAAAATCAGCTCAACATTGTACTTCTTTCTTGCAAAAAAAGTAGTTGCGCAGAATAAAAATGACTTTTTTATTTTGTCCAACATTGTAATAAAACCACATAAGCTAAGTAAAATGTTTTGACTTTATGTTAATGTATACAGTGTTGGCACTATTCAGGCCAATTTTCAGTAAGATATTCCATATAATAAAAATTTGGCAACAGATTGTGTGTTGCCTATCAAAGACGCTTATTCAAAAATTTTAGGGGGGTGACCCTCTTTGTTAACATTATTTTTTATGATCATTCTCATCCACTTCAATTATTTTTATCTTACTCTTTTACTGATATCATGAGCTTGATCTTAGTGAATTTTCATTAAAAAATACCTGCTATTTATAAAGTTACAGAGATTTTAGTTCGCATCCAAAAAAGTAGGGAAGCAAAAAATTGAGAAAACCCCATAGTAAAAAAACCCGAAAATTAAATACGTTAAAAATTCATAACTCCGTAACCGTTTGAGCTAAAATTAAAATAAAAGTATCTTTGTTCTTGTCTAAATGAGCTCTATAAACTGGTGCTACTACATTATTTATTTTTTTAAAATTGAAATTTCATCCAAGTCCCTACTTTAAACTTTCTCAAAAACCTTCAGAATTTGACAATTTTATAGCATATTCTCATAAAGCAGTATATTCTAAGATCTTTTTCCCCTCTCTGTTTTCTAAAACAAACATGCAATTTTGTACAAACCAACCACCATTTATCAATATGAGTTAATTTAGTAGCTATAATAACTTAATCATAATTTATTTAATTTTTTCAGCTCTATTATTACTATTAAATATAAAAAAAATGGCGACAAACTTTGAAGGCTGGGCTAATTTACCTGACCCCATTATTGTGCATACACTGACCTACCTATCTGTAGCTGACCGATGTCGTGCTGGACAAACCTGCAGACATTGGCATCAGTGTCTTGCAACCCCTCTGCTTTGGAAAGAATTTAATTGTGGTTTTTTTTATCCGCAACATGGCAAACTTCTAAAATGTATGGAGCAGTATAGCCACTTCATCACAAAACTGACTATAGCTTTAAACCAAAAGGAGATTGAGAATAGGAAGCATGCCATTTCTGCAGTTGAGTTGATTGCAGGCTTGGATGAAATAAGATTAACTCATTTAACCATACAGTTCAAGGGAGAAAACCCATACTTTTATGGTGGCAGTGAATTTATTGAAGCCCTCTTACATCTGTTGTGCATGGTGGGTAAACAAAAAGGCAAGTACACTTTGAAATATTTGAATTTTAGTGATCTTCAAGTGAATTTTGACAACAGCTTTTTAAGTGGAATAGCTAATAACTGCCCAAACTTAGAATACCTCAATATTTTAAACAAAAGTTTGGTTTGCAATGTTTCACCTGAGGGTGTGGCCTATTTGGTACATCAATGCAGAAAGCTGCAAGTTCTACATTTGTATCACACAAGCTTGACCGACGACGTCCTTAAAAAACTTTCAGAGCCTGGCAGAGGAGCCCTTCAGAGACTAGGAGTTGTTTGCAGGCGAGATGAAAAATATGGTGAAGATATTTCAGCAGATGCTTGGTCAGAGCTTGTTCATACCAACCCAGATTTAAAAGTAGAGCTTGGCTTTGATCACACTTGCCCACTGCATCGAGTGTCAGAAATTCTGAAAGCTGAAATTCCTGTTGAAGAGCTACATCTCTCTACATTTACCAGGATTTATGATGAAATTAATATTGCTGTGGCCTACTATGCAAATACTTTACAAAAACTTGTAGTACATACCAGGCCCTCGCAGGAGTTGAATGATGCGCTTTTGAATGTGGCACAGAAATGCTGGAAGCTTCACACTCTCTATGTCTACTGTGTTGTTGACAAAAGTGTCATTGAGAGAATCCTAGAGAGCTGCCCAAGAATGAGAGAAAAAGGCACGTACATCCTTAAATGGCAAAAAGATCCTGAACCATGGACTGTTGGCAAAGAAGAAGGAGATTAAGTTAAGTGTTAAATATATAATGCTTTTCACTTTATACTATTAAAATAGTATATCTGTGTTGAAAATAACAATAATTTATTTCTTGCTTTTTGTGTATAAATAATGTAATACAACTTTCTTTTTATGTGCTTAACCGTCTTTCAAAAAGGCTTTATAATTTATAACTTGTGCTAAATGTTTTTTGTTTCCAGTGGCTGTGAATTACTCTCCAGTGTACATATTTTTATTTTTAGGTAGATTATTTTTTCTTGTTTGATGAAGATATATCTGATTAATGCCAAAAATTTTTGTAGTTATTTATAGTTTTCTGTTAAGCATTAATCTGACATGTTTTTTTCTTTTTGTGTCATATAATGATTTACTATATATATAATATTTTTTATGTTACTCAAAACATTTAGAATAACTACTCAGTTGAGATTGTAATAGTAATAGTATTTATTGTAGTAATCTCTTACCATTTTATTACTTTTAAAATTTTTGTTTCACTGCTTTTAATTATTAGCTTTCTTCATTACTTATTAATATTCTTAAAAAGCTACACATATTGTATACATTCTGATATATAATAGTATAACCCAAATCAAGCACTAAAAGTTTTTAAGGGAAATCACCACCAAGAAGAAATAGTTGTTATAAGCTTTTATTTAACTTGCTTTCTTGTTCTTTTGTTATGCTATGTCATGGATCAAAATTGCCAAGCAAAATTTTGACCATTCTAACAGACAGAATATTTTCAAACTTGACCCGATGACATTGCAATCTGACACCAAATCTGCCTTAATTGGATGCCTAATAAATTTTTTAGGAGATTTAATTAAAATTTTCAATAATTATCAAGTACTATGTACCACACGTTTTCTGTGTTCATTTAGTGAGAAATTGTTTTTAGTAATGCGACTCTATTGTATTAAAAATTTCAAAATACTGAAATAAAAATGTAGAAAAAATGTTTTAATAACGATCTTTTATATAATAAACCATTAAACAGGAGAAAATAAATGATTTTTAAAAAATATGTAATAAATGAACTATTTAAATTACTAAAATGAGTGGGTCACTTCTTAAATTCTAGTTAAGGTATTCAATACATAATTTAGAGACCCATGCTTTTCTTTTTAGTTATTTAAATAGTAGTTAATTATTATATATTTAAAGAAAACTATTAAGTTTTTCCTTTGTATTATTACATAAAAGCTTGTTATTAAAACATGTTTTATGCATTAAAAAAAGTTATATTGATAGGCTTGTATCAAACTAATTTATTTTGAAACTATAACAGTAATATTATTATTATTTAACTTGCTTTCTTGTTCTTTTGTTATGCTATGTCATGGATCAAAATTGCCAAGCAAAATTTTGACCATTCTAACAGACAGAATATTTTCAAACTTGACCCGATGACATTGCAATCTGACACCAAATCTGCCTTAATTGGATGCCTAATAAATTTTTTAGGAGATTTAATTAAAATTTTCAATAATTATCAAGTACTATGTACCACACGTTTTCTGTGTTCATTTAGTGAGAAATTGTTTTTAGTAATGCGACTCTATTGTATTAAAAATTTCAAAATACTGAAATAAAAATGTAGAAAAAATGTTTTAATAACGATCTTTTATATAATAAACCATTAAACAGGAGAAAATAAATGATTTTTAAAAAATATGCAATAAATGAACTATTTAAATTACTAAAATGAGTGGGTCACTTCTTAAATTCTAGTTAAGGTATTCAATACATAATTTAGAGACCCATGCTTTTCTTTTTAGTTATTTAAATAGTAGTTAATTATTATATATTTAAAGAAAACTATTAAGTTTTTCCTTTGTATTATTACATAAAAGCTTGTTATTAAAACATGTTTTATGCATTAAAAAAAGTTATATTGATAGGCTTGTATCAAACTAATTTATTTTGAAACTATAACAGTAATATTATTATTATTTAACTTGCTTTCTTGTTCTTTTGTTATGCTATGTCATGGATCAAAATTGCCAAGCAAAATTTTGACCATTCTAACAGACAGAATATTTTCAAACTTGACCCGATGACATTGCAATCTGACACCAAATCTGCCTTAATTGGATGCCTAATAAATTTTTTAGGAGATTTAATTAAAATTTTCAATAATTATCAAGTACTATGTACCACACGTTTTCTGTGTTCATTTAGTGAGAAATTGTTTTTAGTAATGCGACTCTATTGTATTAAAAATTTCAAAATACTGAAATAAAAATGTAGAAAAAATGTTTTAATAACGATCTTTTATATAATAAACCATTAAACAGGAGAAAATAAATGATTTTTAAAAAATATGCAATAAATGAACTATTTAAATTACTAAAATGAGTGGGTCACTTCTTAAATTCTAGTTAAGGTATTCAATACATAATTTAGAGACCCATGCTTTTCTTTTTAGTTATTTAAATAGTAGTTAATTATTATATATTTAAAGAAAACTATTAAGTTTTTCCTTTGTATTATTACATAAAAGCTTGTTATTAAAACATGTTTTATGCATTAAAAAAAGTTATATTGATAGGCTTGTATCAAACTAATTTATTTTGAAACTATAACAGTAATATTATTATTATTTAACTTGCTTTCTTGTTCTTTTGTTATGCTATGTCATGGATCAAAATTGCCAAGCAAAATTTTGACCATTCTAACAGACAGAATATTTTCAAACTTGACCCGATGACATTGCAATCTGACACCAAATCTGCCTTAATTGGATGCCTAATAAATTTTTTAGGAGATTTAATTAAAATTTTCAATAATTATCAAGTACTATGTACCACACGTTTTCTGTGTTCATTTAGTGAGAAATTGTTTTTAGTAATGCGACTCTATTGTATTAAAAATTTCAAAATACTGAAATAAAAATGTAGAAAAAATGTTTTAATAACGATCTTTTATATAATAAACCATTAAACAGGAGAAAATAAATGATTTTTAAAAAATATGCAATAAATGAACTATTTAAATTACTAAAATGAGTGGGTCACTTCTTAAATTCTAGTTAAGGTATTCAATACATAATTTAGAGACCCATGCTTTTCTTTTTAGTTATTTAAATAGTAGTTAATTATTATATATTTAAAGAAAACTATTAAGTTTTTCCTTTGTATTATTACATAAAAGCTTGTTATTAAAACATGTTTTATGCATTAAAAAAAGTTATATTGATAGGCTTGTATCAAACTAATTTATTTTGAAACTATAACAGTAATATTATTATTATTTAATGGAAACAACATGGATCATCACTAATAAGAAAAATATTTAAAAGATTTTTTTTCAAACCACGCCTGTTGTCCGACAGGCTTTAGAAAATCTTTTGCTTGGTTAAATTAGTTGAGTGGCATTTGATAAATGTTTACATTACGAGTTAATGTCTCATAAAGCCTTATTAGAATGCATAAGAGTGGGTCAAGATTGTGGATGGACATAGTGAGTGGTTTATGTGGTGTAGTGCAGCTCAATTTGTCTGTTTAAAAATAATTGAAGGTACTCAATTTAAAGAATGAAGTTTTATCCTTAGAAACTGACCCAGACAATGAAAAATTAAACAAAACATTTTTTAAAAAATGTGTGTTATTGTTGGACATAAGGGGCTAGTTGGAATTTTTAGTTTATTCTTTTCCCTTGGCTGTGTTCATATTGTTGGCAATGCTGTTAGCATTTATCTCACTAATAATTAGTGAATAATATACTTGATGTGTACTAATTATTTTTAAAAATTGTTTTACACCTGAAATAGTTTGATGTGCTGTGAATGGTTTATTTACATTTTCTACCTCTGTGATCTTGTTTTCTGATATAACTTAAGCAATATCTATGTTTGCATAAAAACAAAAGGCTTTATATGTTTTGAATAAAAGGACATAAAATGTTAAATAAAATCTTTATTTCATTTGATAAATATAAGTTTAAAAACAAATGTATATACATTCTGAAATACACATTTTGAGGATTAGTGAGCTATAAAACAATCATTAAATTTGAGACAGTTCAAACAATCATGACTAGCAAATTAAAAATGTCAATAAATATTCTGTTCACAACAACAAAATGATAGTTACACAACTGTATAAATCTAACATATTTGAGACTTTTCTACATGCAGTAATATCAAATTTTGCCTACTCCTATTTTGCAACTATCTGTTTAAAAATTTTTAAGTATTAAATTAACCATGTTGAACATTATCAGAACATTTCAAATAAAGAGTATTGATAAACATAAAAAAAACTTAATAATAATAATTCATATCTATCTGAAAAAAAGCTATGCAGCAAACGTATTTATCTCTCACATTTTGTGCAACATTGTTAAATTGTATAGAAACCTGCAAGTCTTAAGTTCAGTTGCCTGACTTCAAATCCTGCATCCTCCCAGATGGACTGGCTTCTGCTACCTCTGTGCTCAAATATTTCTACATGAGCATTTTTCTTTTTTTGCATTTATTAGGTATTCATAATGAGAAATGTTTCTTTGAAAAACAAACATTACCAGTAATGTAAAATATTTTATTAAAAAAGCTTGAACTTTTTTCTTAGAGCTTATGTTTAAGGAAGAACTTGAACATTAATGGAACATAAATTGAAACAATCTAACTGAGCTTGATTTTTAGGTGTAATGGAGGGTGGCAGTTATTTCTGATATTACACAAAAATAAGGAACGGAGTGGCCTAGCAGTAGATAGCTAGATTGCTAACCCGTAAGTCTCGAGTCCGAATCTGGGTTCAAGGAGGTCGACTGTCCATGAGTCCACCCACCTCTGATGGGTACCTTACTCATGATAGGGAAAGTAAAGGTGGTTGGGCATAGTGCTAATCACTCTCTTTTCATATGCTGAAGTCATAGATACAAGTGAACTCTACTTCACTTGCCCCATAGGATCATCAGGTTGGGAAGGGGAACTTTACTTACACAAAAATAAGGATGAATAACTCCACTAAAACAGCTGAATTATTTGTGGTAGGATGAAGCAGTTTTCAATGCTCACACATTTTAAACTTTTTAATGCACCTACAACTTCAAGAACAGTTTGTTAAAATACTTAATACAAGTTAAATAATATTTTCTCAAATAAACAGAATAAAACTTCAAGAACAGTTTGTTAAAGTACTTAATACATTTTAAATAATATTTTCTCAAATAAACAGAATAAAATTGATGTATAAAAAACATTTGTAGTGCTAGATCTATGGGACGGAGTGGTCTAGCGGTAGAGAGCTGGACTGCTAACCCGAAAGTCTCGAGTTCGAATCCGGGTTCAAGTCAGTAGACCGTCCCTGAGTCCACCCAACTCTGATGGGTACCTAACTCTCGTTTGGGAAAGTAAAGGCGGCTGGGCATAGTGCTGACCACACTATCTCTTCATATGCCGAGGTCACAGAAACAAGTGAACTCTACTTCACTTGCCCCATAGACCGTCAGGTCTGAAAGGGAAACTTTACAACTTTACTTTTAGTGCTAGATCTAAATTATTACCAAGTGTTACAAGATTTCTTCATTAAAAACATCAACAAACATGAAAGCAGGTATCAAGTTTAGGGAGGGCAGAAACTGGCATTACCACTTAACATTTGCACATTGAGATATTTATTTCAAGGTTTGATTTCATTTATATTCATTTCATTTGTGTCACCATTTAAAATAAAATCTAAAAAATTTATAAAGATATAACCCCTTACTGAAAAATGAGCTCATTTTAAACATTTATAAATAATACCTGTTAACAAAAAAAAACAGCTTAAAACTGTGTTTACTTTTACAGGTTTTTCTGTTTGGTGTCTGTAGAATAGTTGTGAAAAGTATGAGCTGTACTTTCATCTAAAAATCTAGTATGTAATCCCAAGTCAAGTACTTACACCTCAGAATATGTTATGATAATAAAATTTTGCTAACAGAAAATAGGTGATGGACGGAAGGAGGTGTTAAAAAAAGAACCTGAAAATTAAAAACGCAGCAGCGAAATGGTGATGTTATCCAGTAAGTATGGCTGTAAAACTTGGACGGACAGGGTCGTATTTGTTGAATGAATACCTAGATCTAGTGATTGCACATAAGTTTCATCCAGAAAAAATAGGATTTGTGATCATTCTAATAGAAAAATGTGTTCCAACAATTACGTTCATATACAATATGAGCTAAGCCATTATCACAATAAAATATAAAATACTACAAAGTTTAAAAACAAATTATTTTCATCACTTTCGATTTAGCTTAATCTTTGAATGCATCAGCAGATTTCTGGCACTAGTCAAGATGCTCTCAATGTGGAAAAACAATGGTTTAAAATTGCACCAAAAAAAACAGGTTAACATTGTAACAGCATAAACATAAAGAGTGAATGAGGCAACCAAAGATAAATGCGACAACAGAAATGTACTCAAATATGATTTTCAAATACAAAGTAGAAGACCATAAACTGCCTTGTAAATCACTTTCAAGACATTCTGGATTTAGTTGCATGACCCTGAGGAAAACTTCCATCTTGTAGACTCCATGGAGAGATACCTGTGTGCTCTGGAACTGGTTGATTCAAGAAACAAAGCAAGAGCTTTAGCAAGCTTAAAGACTTTGTTAATTTGTGTCATTTAACACAGTTCACTCTTATAAAAGATCTTAGGAAAAAAGTTTAAAATTCATGTAAAAAACCTAACTTTCATGAGGAAGGTAAAACTAGTCCACATGGCATCAAGAAGTTTCCAATGGATAGATTCACATGTTTGTATGAGAGGTGGATTAACAGTCTCCAGAAATAGCATTATGTACATTGATCATGCATTCAGTGCCAAAAGGTACAGAAAACAATTATAGACCGAATGGCATAGCTATTCAAGTCCTGTTCTGTTTGTATAATACCTATGTGATATAACACTGTTCTTAACGCTCTAAAGACAAGGTCTGCTTCCATTTCCACAGAACTCATATCCACCATGGTGTTACCAAAGTGTGTTTAGACACCTGGGATTGGTATCACACAACTCATATCCACCATGGTGTTACCAAAGGGTGTTTAGATACCTGGGATTGGTATCACACAACTCATATCCACCATGGTGTTACCAAAGGGTGTTTAGATACCTGGGATTGGTATCACACAACTCCTATCCACCATGGTGTTACCAAAGGGTGTTTAGATACCTGGGATTGGGATCACACAACTCCTATCCACCATGGTGTTACCAAAGGGTGTTTAGATGCCTGGGATTGGGATCACACAACTCATATCCACCATGGTGTTACCAAAGGGTGTTTAGATACCTGGGATTGGGATCACACAACTCATATCCACCATGGTGTTACCAAAGGGTGTTTAGATACCTGGGATTGGGATCACACAACTCATATCCACCATGGTGTTACCAAAGGGTGTTTAGATACCTGGGATTGGGATCACACAACTCATATCCACCATGGTGTTACCAAAGGGTGTTTAGATACCTGGGATTGGGATCACACAACTCATATCCACCATGGTGTTACCAAAGGGTGTTTAGATACCTGGGATTGGGATCACACAACTCATATCCACCATGGTGTTACCAAAGGGTGTTTAGATACCTGGGATTGGGATCACACAACTCATATCCACCATGGTGTTACCAAAGGGTGTTTAGATGCCTGGGATTGGGATCACACAACTCATATCCACCATGGTGTTACCAAAGGGTGTTTAGATGCCTGGGATTGGGGTCACAATAAAAAACAAAGCATGTGGCATACTGTATGTTTAACTGGTAATGTTTATCTATAACTTACTGCCCTCTGTTACTCTAGCCTTTAGAGTTGAATTAAATGTTGACATTGTATCTGCCAAGTGCTGTCGCTCTCTTCCCTGGGGATAACATAGAGAATCAAATTGATGCTCACAACCATTTATATAAATATATTCATCACATCCATCTAGCCACATTTGATTTTAGTCAAATAAAACCTCTTTAAAATTTAAATGTCTTTCTTGGATGTCAGAAAATTGCTATAAATCTGGTGTTTATGAGTTACCTTTCCTGATCTTAAATCACAAATGGCTGCCAAAATTTGTCGCCTGGACTCAGCATGAGAGATGCCAAGTTCCTTAAGATCATCATCTGTTAGGGTGAGAAAAGCCTCCATATCAACCTGAAAAAGAAATTTTTTAAATTCAGGCCACCTACATTTACTTTGGGTCCCTACACAGTACAATTTCAATTGACAAATTGATTATAAACAATTTAGAAAATGCATTTTCTAATTATAATTTTAAAACCACTTAAGATCCGTTAAGAGAAATTGCACCAGCTAATGCAGCTTTAAATTATTAAATATGCAACAGCAGACAGTACTTACTTCTTGTTCTTCAAAAATAGGATTATATTTTTCAAGGGACAATTTTTTCATTATGCTCGCAAGTTCATCTAAAATAAAAAATACACAGCGTTAGGCAATTTACGTAATGCATTACATTACAAGCAGAAATTTTTAAAAACATGGATGAAATTTGTAAATCTTAAAACAGCAAGAAAAAAAAATACTTCAAGATCAAACCATTTAAAAATTTCTTTATATGTCAATGTACAAAAAAGGTGTTATTTTTTTGTTGATTACCATCATGTCCATCTTTCTCCTGCAAACTGTCAAGAGCCTGAGGTGCATCTTCAGCAGACTAGAAAATATTTAACAGCTATACAAACATAGACAGACTTTAGAAAAACTAGGATAAAACGTTAATACTAACAAGCACTAAATTCTTATTTTTAGTATATTTTAATGCTTGTTATTATAAAGGTTTCTATACTTTTTAGTATTTAGGTATTGTAAAGATATGAGTAATCTGATTATAAGTTTTAAAAACTATTAGTGCAATAATAATTAGTTTAATTATTAAATATTAATTATTTGATTATTTTGTTCCCACACAGCTAATAAAGTCTGGTAACTCTAAACAACAATTATCTGCCTGTGGTCTACTCTTGTGGTTACCAGCATGTTCATCTGATTCATCCTGGTAACTACTTCACAGCTTCATCTTTTTTATATTTCAATAGTAATCTTTCAATGATATTTTAATGACTAATATCTAATAATATAGAAAATTAGATATTCTTACACTGTCATTGTGTTGTTATGCTGTGGGTCACATCTAAGTTAGAAGATTTGATCACAAATTGTGACTAAGATAAAGCATTCAAAACTAAATTATATCTTATGACAAAAAGTACATGGAAAACTGGTAAATATATGAAACCAGGGCTCACTTTGCCAGGAGTAGGGGAGGGTGAAGGTGTCAGTGTGGAGGTGGTGCTCCCTTTTGAAGATGTACTTCGTCCCCTTGAGGACCTCTGAGGAGTAATGGACGAGCTTCCGCTAGTTGAACTGTTTGGGGATGTTGTGTTGGACATTGTACGGAATGCAGAGGGTGTAGTTGTTGACTTTCTATACAGAAATAAATATAAAAAACACATTGTTTACACAACCTGCTACAAAAGAGATCTATAAAATTATTTCTGAAAAATTTTGCTTCAATAAAATGGAAATAAATAAATAAATATTTCTCAAGGTGTTCAGTGCTAGTTCCTACGAAGTTTACTGACCTTGGCATAAATAATCTTGAGGGGGTGTGCTGTGGTAAGAAAGGGGAGAACCTTGGTCCAGGAATGTTTGAACTTGAAGCAAACAATGGACCTTGACCTAGTTCTGGAAGTAAAAATAAACAATGGTTAAAGTTAGATTTTTAAAATCAACTATCATCATATCAAACCTGTTTCTTTAATTAGATAAACAAAATTAAAATTTAAATATTTGACATGAAAATCTTGAATAAATTCCCATTATTTTATTGTCTTCATGTTGCAGTAGAGTAAAAAAACAAAATGAGACAATTAGAACAAATATCTGAACCTGAACTACTAGTGGTGTCATTTGGTCTTGATTTCCCAAGAACGGCATATTTTCTATGAGCAGCCATTTTGGTGTGCAGGGCTGTGATGTTGCTGCTCCCACCAGAAGAGTCAGGGCTGTTGTCGCTGGGCTGACCAATGGTGTAGCTGTTGCGGCTTGTTGAGTTGGTGGTCAGGTTTCCAGTTGACAAACTTTGGGCTTTGATGGGCTTTAGCACTGGGTTTCTCTTTTCAAACAGATACAAATTACTTTTAAAACTGTATATGACAAAAATAAAAATATGGAAAACCCCTATCTGTTTCTAAAGTTGTGTAAGGGCCAATTACATTATTAGATCAATATATTTTTGACTCCAACATTGAATATTTTTGAGCTATTTAACCTGCTGACCATAGTTTAAAAACTAAATTGGTATGGACATGTCAGAAGGTCAGCAGGTTTAGTGAAAACTTTCTGCCAAGGAAAAATATCAGGCAAATGGAAAAGAGGCAGGCATTAGATGAAATGAGGAGATAACACCATGGAATTGATGGGCTTGACACTGGCTCAGGCACTGAGGGTGGTGGATGACATTGGAATGGAGGAATATGGTAAGTGTATCCTAATTGTGCCACATCTGTTAAACTGCAGGGCAGAAGAAAAACAAGATAGGCTCAAATGTTTAAAACAATGTAAATGTTATGACTTACATAGTTTTCATCCCCGGTTTTGTAAGTCCTGAAGTTAGAGGTCAGACGATGTGAGTGGTCAGAGTTGTCCAGTGCAAAACTTGGAGTAGGTAAAAATGGTGGGATGACTGGCTTGAGGGTTTCACTAGACAAGGCAGAATGGGGAATTTCCTTTCAATTGGAAAACAAAATAAAGTTAACATGTGCTTAAAAAAAGCAGTGTTGTCAAAAAAAAAGAAAACATGAAACTAAGCAATGTAGTCTTCTTAATTAAAAAAAGTACCTTACCAAAGTGTAGAGAGAAGCACTTTGTTTGGTCTCCAGTAACATAGTGTCATAGCTAGTCAATGTTAAACTTGTCTGTTCCACGTGAGACAGATTTTTCCTTTCCAGCCGAGCTGACTGAAAGATTAACACATTTTTATTTTAATAATGATATCAGACGAGTAACCAATTTCTCCTCAGTAAAGTATTTTGGTTTGGTAAAAATGATGACAGTTAACCTGGATTTGTGGTGGTGTTGCAGATTTTTTGGTCAGATCCTGAACAGAATGGGACGTTTCAAGTGGTGCCAGACGGTTGTTGCTAGTAAATGTACGACCAAGTTTAAGATTCCGAAATCTGTTAGACATTCGGTTCCACCACCCCTGTGTATGAAAAAGGCAAAAGATAGCTGGTAGGTCCTACAGGAGTTTAAAAGTTATCAAAATGGTGACAGACTCAAGAACATAATTTCCTTATAAACATAGGGACCAATACCAGTAGCTGAGTATCTATTACTGTAAAGGCAAACAAATAAAATATCTGAACAATCTGAATAGTATACATTTCTAATCAAGAGAAAAAAGGGGACAATGCTTGGAGGGGAGAGAGGGGGCTAAGCACTGACATCTCTCCTGAGATCAGAAATCTTTCCATGGCTACACAAATATATAGGCTTACAGTAAGAAATATTAAAGACAGAACATCTTATAAAATATTAAAATTAAAACATGCATAAGGTTAACTACAGTTTTCACAAATTTGTATTAGCTAACGATTTCCATCCTCCACAATTCTGCCTAAGACATAATTTCCAAGTACTTAAAAAATTATTTCTATAGAGATAACCAGTGGCATAACAACAGGTTACATAACCTGGAGTCAGCAGTTAGATGGAGTATTGACTGATGAAATGAGCTGACACCATGAAGCCTAGCAAAGTTTATATTACCACCTTCAGACACACATCCAACAAACAAAGTAAGCTTAATGACTTGAGATGTTTGCAATAGCTCTAGAGAGAACATTGTACCTTCAATCCATTCTTGGGTACATCAGTATCTAAACTGCAAAGAGTAACCATGAATATGTTAATTTTCACAATAGCAGGTGTTTCAAAGCATATTACAATAGATTGAGAGCTTAAATATCTATTACTTAAACATGAGTAAGAAACTGTAATGATCATTCTAATTTCTAATTGTATGGTAAATATCCAGTAACTAAATAAATGTAATTAAGCATCAAGGTTGTTAGATAAGCCAGCCTTTCCTTTCAATTGGAAAAAAAATAAAGCAACCCTTTTGAAATCTGTATATGACAAAGAATGGAACGAAAGAAAATCACCTCAAATCTGTTGTCAAAGAAGAGCTGACATCATTTTGTTTTGATCTGTTTTTCTTGTTTTTATCCACTTTATTAACTTGCATGGCTTTAGCTGCTAACTGGCGCAACAACTCAGTATCAACATCATCTGAATTTTCAAGAAACCAGCAAATTGGAAAATGAAGTATATGAAGCATATTAAAAGTAAAATACATTTTGAAGCCGTAATATCTTAAGTTTAAAATAAAATCCCAAGGTAAAAAAACTAAGTAACATAATAAAAATTTTAGGATATAGGATTACAATATTTTAAATCAGTAGGCCTACTTAAAAAAATATTTATGTACCTATTAAAGAAGCCATATCAAATGCAGTGCAGCCATTTTTGGCTTGTATATTAACATCAGCGCCAATTGAAAGGAGATACATAGCTACATTCTTTTTCCTGAGAATTCATGATACAAAATTTTGTTATGTATTTTTTAATTTGAGTAGACTTGTCTATCTAAAGAATAGTTCTACTATAGTTCAATGACTGAAATATTACTCTAATATAACTGTTCAGCTTTCTTCCTACCCATGATAAGTAGCTTGCATGAGAGCAGTCCAGCCACTGATTAAATCTTGCTTGTTGACATCACAGCCTTTAGTAACCAGCAGCTCCGCAATATCAAGACGACCTGTCATGGCAGCAAACATCAAGGGGGTGGCCCCATCTTGTGGAGAATGAGCATCTTTTTGAGCATGATCTTGTTCTAAAATTTCTTTCACTCTCTGTATATCACCTGCAAGCAATTAACATCTATAATTACATTTTTTCCCCCATTAACCAAAGTCAACTGCTCCTAACTTAGCTATCAGTTTACTCATGCTGCAGTAAGACCCTTACCATGCTTAGCAGCCTCAATGATGTCAGGTTTAATATCATCTGGAACTGAAAATTATTAAGATAAAATTGCAGACAACACAGCACATGTTAATGATCAACTAATATTATGACCAGAGGTTAATTTTTTCTATCTGTGAAAGTGCTAACTAAATTGAAAAGTAAAAGGAAACAGCTGTATTAGAAATAGAGAAAATCTTTGTAATATAATAATTATTTACAACACAATCATGTGAACACTACCAATACAATTAGTTCATGAGATCATCCCTACGCCTAATAATATTCTGTGTTACAAGACTTATCAGAGTTATCACACTTTATTTCTGCATTTAAGTTCTTTTTATCACACTAACAATAAAATAGTATTGGGCACACAAAATTAGACACTAAAAGCAACTTACGCATCTTTGGTTTATTGGTTGTCTTTCTATCAAGGTACCCTCTGACTTCTCGCTTATCTCTTATTGTGGCTATTTCTAGTGCTGTTTTATCACAGACATTCGTCATGTTGGGATCACCTCCACGCTCAATTATGATCTGAGCAGTAGTCATGTGACCATTCAAGGCAGCAATCATAAGTGGTGTGAGGCCAGTAGACATGGTACTAAAGCTGGCATCACAGCCTCTATCTAGGAGAACACGGACCACTGCATCATGTCCATGCTGTGCTGCTAACAAAATGGGTGTGAACTCGCAGCCTTCGTTAACTGCGTTAATATCAACTCCCAAATCAATGATGTACTTGACAGTTTGGAGATGCCCCCCTTTGGCTGCCAGCATCAAGGCTGAAGCTCCATAACGTGTTCTGGCTTGCAGGTCAGCTTGGTGTTGATGGAGCAGAGCGACCACATTTGTGTGACCATATCTGAATGGAAACAAAATCTAATGTCACTACATAAAACACTAAAATACTTATTACTTAAAACAGCCGTTGTATTAATAAATAAGATTTAGGCATGAAAAAATTGCCTGACCGTGCAGCTTGTAATAAAGGTGTCCACCCAAAAATATTTGACTTATCAAGACCTGCTCCCCTCATAATAAGCAGCCGTACAACTTGCTCATGGCCATTTGCTGCAGCCACCTAAGAAAGCATTTTCTTCTTGTCATTTAAAACAACACACAAAATTTTATGAATATTATAATGTTTATCTGAACATCCAACTAAATATTAAAGCTGTTTAAAATTAAAACCAAAATTAAAACTAAATGCTAAATTCAGTTTGATCTTTACCTGTAGTGGGGTGTTTTCCTCATCATCTAAAGGGCAGTCTACTTCACAACCTTGTTCAAGGAGAGCTTGCACACAAGTAGTATCCCCTTGTTCACATGCTGAATACAACTGTCTGTTGCAATCCATAAGTTATTGTGATAATTCACCCATAACGTCTTGACAAAATTCTGAAAATAAAAATGACACTGTAGGATTTCAGTAACTTTTTAGTTTTGATCAATATATCATCAACCTATTGTATCCCTAACAGAATAAACCCACTGCGTGGCCTTAATCAATAATGTTGAGATTTACTTTAATAATTATAGTTCTATTAAATTTAATGTAATTATTTCACCTATACTATCCTGTATCCTCTGGGTCCTCTGATCTACTTGGTTACAATTAAGTTGAATTAGCAATAAACTCCATTGTTGCTTCATTTATAAAGAAGTAAAAGAACTCAAATGAAATTAATTCAATACAAACTTTTGTCAATTTATTGTTCTAATATATTAAAATTATTAAAATATTAAATATATGGATCTGGAATCCAAGTATTAAGTAATGATAGTTCTTTCGCATCAATTCAAACATAACTTATTTATTTAAATATTTAGGCCTAGATCTAGATCTTATATTTGTAAAATTAAAATAAAACTATAAACCCAGAAAAGGTGAAGGTAATATTATATATTTAGGCCTAGATCTCTATATAGTATAACTATAGCCTATATATAATATATATATAAATATAACATAGATCTATATTAGATCTAGAATCTAGATCTATAATCTATAACTAGTATAACTTAGAGCCGAACTAAAAAGTGTTCAAGTTTGTTAAGACTCATTTTAACTCATTTACATTAATCATTTATGAGTTAGACTTAGTCTTAGACACTAAGACTAGGCCGTTCGATTCACAGCTTCCGGGTTTGTTGTTTTGAAGCCATCTCACGGCTCATGCGCTTACTCAAAATGGCGACCAGTTTCGCTTTCACTAAACGGTAGAGGGATAAAACTAATAATAACGAGGCCATCGTTAATTTTAGACATCGGAACTATCCGTTTCTATTTCAGTCTGTTATTTAAGAATTCCCAGATGTACTTTTGACCTAATTTCTTTATTTGTATTTAACGAGGCCGTCGAGAGAAAGTCACGCTTACTTAGCTTGCGTTTCAAGTCGAATAAACTAAAGCAGGTGCGTTATCCAATAACTTTTTTATTAGACCCAATTTTTATAACATCTTTACTATCAAATAAAAATAGAATTGTTTAATATAATTAGGCTGACAACAATGCTTTTCATGCTGTAAGTAATAATGCCATTTTATTATATTCTTGTTTGGTGAAAACGAGGCGCGGGAAAATGTGTGCCGCGTAAGAATCCAATCATTTGGCTAGATTTATGACTGTTTTTTATGTCACACCTAAAAATAGAATGTTTACGCTTTCTTCGTTGATGATCGTTTTTATTATTTTTTAAATTGAAAGTATGAATTATTAGTTAGATTGCAGATTTTGTAACTTGGTATACTTACCCTTTATCAATTTTAAAAACATAGCATGCTGATTGTAAACAAATATAGTCATAAAACACAGAAATATAAAGTTATAATTGCGATGTGCCACACCCGGGCCACACCCCCTCAAGAAAGCATGTGTTTATTAAGCTGTTTATCTTACTTTACAACTGTAATTAAAATTAATTTTCAAATTTTTATCACTTATTGGGTAAGAATAAGCACATGTTTACCAAAAATAAAAAAAAATAAAAAAGCAAATTCTGTTTTAATGAAGGTCACGGGTGAAGTTTTTTTTTCCTTCTGTCACGTTCAGTGGAGGGTGCCACAGGCTGACCTGACTTTGGAATTTTTTTCAGTAATAATGACTTTGCACAGAAAGTTAAAATATGCTAAATTTGCTTAGTTTACTAGTGTTCTAGCTATTATTGATACATTTTTAATAAAAAAAATCATTCTGTAATTCTCATCAAAAAGCCTAACTAAGACTGACTTAGAGTTAGTAGAGTGACAGTCCATTACATTTAAAATTTAAACATTAAACATTAACATACTAACTAATACATTCATAGTAATCATAGTCAATACTCTATAATACTCTTATACAGATAAAAATACGATGAGAAAGTTAGAGATCCTAGATCTAGATCTTTATTCCTAGACTTTAGTCCTAGATCTAGAATCTAGATCTCATTCTGTCTGAGTTAGGACAGTTAGGCTGGCTAAGACCTAGAATCTAATCCTAAAAGTAAAAAGTAAGTAGATCTAGTAAGTAAAGTTAGATCTCCTACTCTACTTACAAAATAAAAGTCTTTTATTAAAATTTAAAAGACTAAAATTTAAGTAAAAGTCAAGTTTATTCCTACTCCACGATTCTATCCTATTATTATTATAATTTATTAATTAGGTCTAGATCTAGATCTAGGTCTAGGCCTATTTTTATTATTTTTTAATTAGATATTTCTTCGAATTGTTTCTTTGATTAGGCCTACTCTAAAAAAGATAATACTAAACGCCGGGAGAGGATCATTCAATAATTTTTGTTAAAAACAAAACATGTTTATTTGTTAATTTAAAAAAAAAAGTTTATAATTATTTAAATTTGGCTTTAACCAGGCTAAATAACTAAAATTATTAGGGCCTACCTATTAAGAATTTAATGTTTTTGTGTTAAAATCAACTATTTTTATTCAACTAATGACTTCACTGACTGGATTAAAATTTTAAAATAATCCAATTTTTTGTGAACTTTATGCCGAAGTCACCGCTTATCGTGAAATAGTATGACCCTCTGTGATAGACGGCCAAAATCTAAAATCTACGAGTATCATTAGATTAAGCAGGCCTAAATATTACTAAATAAACTGAATTTAAGTAGGCTCATATTTAATATCTAATAGATCTATATGTCTGTGGTAATACTAATTAATTGGTGTCAAACTTACTCTAAACTCTATTATTTAGATTTAGGCCTATACGTTCTCGTTTTTAGCGTATTTTTTATTCCCCGCTTCAGGTTCACCTCCATTTGTGAGCGCTTCACGTTCACCTCAATTTTTGAGCGAATTTAATTTAATTTTTATTAATATTATATATTATATAGATCTAGTAATATAGGCCTATAGAGTATAGAGAATCTAGATCTGTATATAATAATATATTATAAAAAATATAATCAAATTCAATCAAACTATTCATAAACACAACCGAAACACCACACAAAAACGTTAGGAAAACATTGGGCTTATTTCTTTATGAATTTTTGTTTTAGTTTATGATAATTTTATTCAAAACTTGAGAAAAATCCAAATTTGGAATATCGAATGGGCTAATAAGCCACAAGGCCTATATACTATATTATATTCCTGTGTCAGTTAAGATTTTCCTGACAATGGATGCGTGAAAGAAGTGCATTATTACTATTTTACTACACTTTGACTGAAATTTTAAATTTACATCATAGTACATACATTTTTTACATACGCCCTAATTATTTTATTTACATAACTCACGATTGCAACGGGGTTAAGTTTGTATTGTTACAACAAGTATCTCCCACGCATGATACTTTGAATAAACTTATATGAACTCACAATGACCCCAAAACTACGGCCAACACAATTTCATTATTTCAAGTATTGCCCGAGCTATGATGTATGCTGATAAAGTCAATGTGAACTCACGGTGAACCCTCGACCGTGTAGGGATTTACTCCCACTGACAATCACACGCTATTTAATTGGAACTGTCCTAATGCTTTTTATGTTTTTTTTTACCTTTCCTAATTAAAACTCACATTCATTAAAAAAAAAAAGTAGGTCTAGCTCTAATCCTAGTGTTTTCCTAACGTTTGTGTGAGTTTCGGTTGTGTTTATAATAAAATACGCTGAACCGGAGGTGAACGTGAAGCTCAAATAAAAATGGAGTTTTACCGACAGGTACAGTACATAGTACTGTCAAATATTATAGATAACTGAATAATAAACCAAAATCAATGGCTAAATGTATCAATTCTTCTTCTTAGTCCTCTTTGCTCCTTATGGAGCATAGGGCCTCCACCATTTCCTTCCATTTCTTCCTATCCTCGGCTATTAATTTTGACATCTCCCAAGACATCCCTGTTGGCTTCAGTTCTTCAAGAAGACTCCGCCTCCAGGTCTGTCTTGGGCGCCCTCTCTTCCGCTTTCCCTGGGAAATGTATCAATATAAGCCAGAAATAGTTAGAGATTCAGGGGAAACCACTCTAACTTACAGATGGCCGCTGTTTATATAGCAAATCTAGCTTGCAAACACTGCTGTTTAAAGCTAATTTCTGGCCAATATTGATATATTTAGCCATTGATTTTGGTTTATTGATAAAATAAAATTTCAAAAGGCACTGTATTCCAGGGGTGCTAATCTAATTGGTCTTTATATTGGCCATTATTATTAAAAAATCAAATGAATAATAGTATAGTAATTATTAGCCTAATAGCTCTTATTTCCATTTTTATTAAGAACCTTAAAATATATTTTTCCTAGAAATTCTTTACCTGTAAAGTATGGCTATTGCACTAAAACACTGGAGAGAGTCTGCAAGTTTGATTATAGCATCAAAGAAGATGGCAATGAAGCAGCCAAATCCAAGCTTGCTGGAGAAATTGATGAAAACACAACCTGAACACATAGAGAATAAAAACGAGGAGTTTTTGAGACTCTTACTATTAAAACGAAAACCTACAAACTCATTCATGCCCAGTATGTATGTGTTCCCTGGTGGTACTTCACACAAAAGCGATTTCTCAAGGGAATGGTTGGATCTTATTGGGTGTAAAAATAATAACTTATTAGACTTATTTACTCGTGGTAAAATAGGTTCACCAATTTTCAGCACTATAAGGGAACCTCCATTCTGTGATGTACCAAGTGAAATTGCTTTACGTATAACAGCTATTAGAGAGACTTTTGAGGAAAGTGGTATTTTATTAGGGAGGCCCATGACAGATCTTCCAGATTTACCCCTTTCCTCAATGAGTGCCCATCCGATCTGTAGCACATATTGCAATTTGCCTTCCCAAGTGAGCCTTGAGTGGAGAAAACAAGTGATTTCAGATTCTTCCAATTTTATTCTTATGTGTAAGGAGTTAAAGATGGTGCCAGATATTTGGTCATTGTATGAGTGGTCCAACTGGCTGACACCATTGCTACAAAAGGCTAGGTTTGATACAGCTTTTTTTCTTTGTTGTGTTGACGAGGCTCCCCTAATTTTAGATTCAAATGAAACAGAAGATGGAGCAGTAAGTTTATTTTCTGTTATATAATCTCAAGTTTCTTAACCTGTGTGCTTAAGTTAATGGCATTTGCTATTTCAAATGTAATATAGATTAAGAACTTTTTCTCCAGTGGCTGAGTCCTTCTGGTACACTGAAAGCCTGTTTAGAGAAGATAGTAGCTTTAGCACCTCCCCAATTGTATGAACTGTCAAGGTTGCTACATTTCAAAACCACAGACGATCTCCTGTCTTTCACATGGGGCAGATCATCTCATAGAGTGAATCGATGGATGCCTGTCATCTACCAGTGTCAAGATGGTTTGATTTTTGCTCTGCCAGGTAGCAAATCTAATTTTATTTTAAAATATATTTTATGTATGCTGTTTTTTTTATACATCATTTTAATCTTGTATAGACATTTCTGACTGATGTAAAACATTAGATATTGACTTTAAGGTAAATGTACATTTGTACTTTAAACGGGAAATTTAAAAACATTATTGATTTTTCTTACAGGAGATGATTTATATCCTGCTAACCCTGATTTGACAGGGGAGATCACAAATGGCCCATTAGAAAAAACAGAAAGTGTTGCTGAGCTGCGAAGTTTATACCCCCGCCAACACTGTATTGTTGTGTATAAAAACAAACAGTTGTCATTGTATTGTAATATAAAGCCAAATCAATATCATATACTTCCTCGTGAATTTAATAAAATATAATATTTTAATTAAATCAAAAGCTTTTCATTTTTATAATTCATCCTTGATTTGTACTCATTTTAAACTCATTAGTTTGAAGTAAGATGAGGATGGCTGCTAATCAAAAAGCCTGGAGTTTAGTTCTTAGAAAATCCTTGATGGATTATGACACTATTCAGGGAAAGTAAAGCCAACTGGACACAGACTAATCATAGGATTTCTTTTGAGCTCAGAAACTGACTACTTTACTTTATCTGTGCAATAATCTTCCAGTTTTTTAAATAAATCACCTAATTGCAAAGTTACACAAGTGAAACAATCCTGAAACATGGTGTTCAGAAGCCTTATGTTTTACAACTATCTAGGTTGGGACAACTCTACCAGCAGCAAGTCTATTTAGCCACATAATATTATACATGAGCCGACCCTCAGCGTATCATATGCCACTATTTAGTTGTATTATTTTCTACTTTTCAGTAATTCATAATTTGTGAATGCGACAGTACCAATGCTGCCACTGAAAATATTTGCTTTAAAACAGTATCAGTAGATCGTTAAGGACAATAACCCCCCCCCCCCCCCCCCCCCAATCCCTACCCTATCTCTTCCCCCCCCCCCCGTGAAAGCAGCCTCCTCTTAGTTACCTCCCCAAAGTTTAAAATCGCGTCAAACAAAATTATCTGTCCCTAATAGCCGTCACTAAACCCGGCTCTACGATTGTAAACATTTAGCGTGAACCACAGCTCACCAGACAATGTGGGGGTGGAGGTGGTAGGGATATGCCAAGAGAGGGGGCTGCTAGGAGCGCTTACAGCTTGCTGTTTTCTATGGTATCCAAGAAGAGAATTATATATATAGATACTCCCTACCACCCACTAAGCAAGTCGCCTGAAAAAAACTGCTTTAGAAATCAAGATAAAGTTAAATTTTTTAAAATGAGCTTGGTGAGAGGTGTTGCTTTTTATTATGTGTTGTATGTTGATTTTAAATTTAAACAACTAAAAAATAATGAGATGCAGAAAGATAAATAGATCTCTTAAAGCAGAGTAACATTTTTAGCAGATTACAGCAACAGTAATACATAAGGTGTCATAGTTGCAAAGGAACTAAGTACTATTTGTCTAGTGGTGGTAAAAATCTGGCCTTCACTTTCATGAGTGAAATACTTCTGTTGGAACACAATTTATAACTGACTAAAACATGACATGACCAACACATTTAAAACAGATCACATGACTATCAAATCTGTTGAAGATAATTTTATTCATAAATAACTACTATTGTTAGATAATAATAATAATAGGTTTCTGATTATTCTGTGTCAAATACTATACAAAAAATAATGCCTATTTGAACTGAACTGACATTTATTAAGAAGATAATGTATGCACTAGTAGAAAATGGTTTAATAAACATATGTAGGCCGATAGTTGGATCCTTGATAAACAACCTTCCTATTTACAAATAAACTATTATACTATAAGTGTGGATCCATATAGGGAAAACATGCCATTATCCTTAGATGGATGCAAGTTTTGTATTAATTAGGCTTGCAATCAGCGTTTTAGTAATGTTAATTAAAAATTACTTCAAAAGAATACCTATGTTTTGTATTTATTGCTGAGGATTATTTAAATAACATGAACATTTTAATCAATCTTATAAAATGCAAAATAAAAAAAATAAAAGAATTTTTTGTCCTTTCCTAAAAAAAATAATTAACTAGTATAAAGTATTTCACCCTTTACAAAAAAAGGAACACTTAAAAAGAATGGAATGTTGCTCTAACATCAAGATATTAAAAAACTCATTAATTTTTTAGTACAGTCACCTCTAGTAACATTTTTAAATTGCCAGTTCTTTAAAAAATCCTATGGGCCCTGGACCCCCCCCCCCCCCCCCCCCCCCAAAGTAGTAGATCTAGTAGCACATTAAAACCAATTTTTTTTTTACAAATTCACTAATTAAAATAAAAAGCACCTGCAATTTTTAAAAGTAGGTTTTCATTATAAATGCAGGCTACTTTTTTTTCAGCCAGAACACATTTTATGATCTTGAAGAAAACAAATGAATTGTAAAAAAACATCTACATGAACTAGTATAAATAAAGAATATATTTTTAACAAAGGTTGTACAATACATTAAAAAAAGTATTGTTATGTCTAAAAGTAATTTAAAAAACAGATGAAAAGAAATTAAAAAAAAACTTTTTAACTCCAATGGAATGTTAAAGAAAAGGCTAAATAATCTTTTGACTCGAGTTAATTATAAACATAAACTATTGCAGCGATGAACAGTCATGGCAAGACAACTTTACTACAAAAGTACTGTATTAAAGTAGTTACTTGCTATCTAAAGATGTGAAATTTATCATTACATATTAATAATAAATAAATCAAATGTATATTTTATCTTTTTATTATTTCTATCAATTGTTAATATAAATAACTGAATTCATATTACAAAATGCACAATAAAAAAAAAAAAGAATAAAATAACGTACACATCAATATAATGTACATAAAAAAATCACATTGTCTTTTGTTTTACATATTCTATTCCAATCATATTTTTGTCATTCTTAATTAGTCAATTAGCTGTGGGTGATTTGGGCTAGGTAGGAAATGACTTGGTTTGGTGAAATGGAAATTTGGTTTAGGTAGCATTTTGTACACACGAGAACAAATATTCAGATTATAATCTGAAAAATACTCTCTTTTTTATGCCTCCAAATACTCAAGTACTGATAGAATCAACTAAGAAAATTGTTTAGAGAATAAAACATTGCTAGAAGTAGGAGTTGTCAACTTACTCTGTTCACCATGACTAGAACTGTGGCCATACATTACATTTATTACACATCACTACAGTTCTTACATTATTCAATTAATTAATTGTAACCTAGCTGATAACCACTTAGTTTGACACATTTTAAAAATAAAGTATGAAAATCAAAGCATTCACCAATACTGTTGTTAAACATTGATAGAAAAAAATATGGAACCAGGTACACAAAAAATGTAAATCATATTAAAACTGATTATCACATCTGTTATCTGGAACATTGCAAGCTGTTTTGGTGTACTTCAAACAATGAGAGCTACAACTGACAATCAAGTGTTCACACTTTAAAACATTATTTTACCTAATCATTAATAAACATGCAACAATGCAATTAAAAAAAAAATCTTTTTACTCTCCATTTTATCATGTCTTCACACATAGCACCACAATAGTTTTTAGCATTTCTATATACAGTATACCAGTAATACCAAGAGAAGTATGTATGAATGTGTTTCAATAAATAACTTATCTAGCAACTTTAAATGGAGCAGAAGGAAAGTAAACTTGTAGCAATATGACAAGTACCAGTAGCAAAACCAACAAGTTTCTACACACTTGTAGAAAAGTCAATTGCACAAGTCCATGTATATGAAACAACTGGCAGCCAAAGCTCCTATTATTACCTGGCTATATGTACAATGGGTCATATTTGCAGATGCTGCATATTCTAAGGTTTAACTCCTATACATATATGTCCAGCAGTGAAAATAGGGGAGAAAATTTTACCTGACTCACAGACTTGATTAGTTACAACAGACCAGGGTAATGGTCAGAACGGAGATATTATTGTACTGTGGGCTTTGGTTTCTTCCACTATTGGCTCATCTCTGAGTGCATCACTTTTTGTTCCTCTGTCAATCATGTCAAGTATAGCTTTGTCTTCAGATGCTAGTTTGTCAAGAATACTTTTAGGAGCTCCCTGTTAAAAAGACAAATATATTAAGAATACTTTTAGGAGCTCCCTGTTAAAAAGACAAATATATCAAGAATACTTTTAGGAGTTCCCTTTTTAAAAAAACAAGTTCATCAAGAATACTCTTACTTTTAGGAGTTCCTTGTTTTAAAATACAAATTTATTAAGCACACTTTTAAGAGTTCTCTTATTACTTATTTCGCATGTTACATAACTTGTGTTTTAACAAATGCTAGTTTTACTTGTAAAGAAAAAACAATTAGGCTGTTTCTTACAATTGTTCCGAGATCTAATGATTGTATTAAAATAAGGATTACAAGTTACATTTATTTACTTTTATCTATTATTTAATTATTATGACAAGCCTATTCTTATACCTTGGCACCATCTGTTGATTCTTCTTCGTCATCTTCTTCTTGTCCTTCTTTCCGTTCTACCCTTCCTATTGCCCAGACTTCTATACAGTCCACTTGAAACTCTGTCTGTCCTGACAACTGTGGGCAGCCATAGGTTGTATTACCTTTAGCACCGGCCTTGCTGTGTCCCTTGTCAAAAGACTGGTCAATCCAAATACCAAAATATTCAAACACACCTCCCATTCCCTGATGAAATAAAATGTTGTAAAAATATATATACAAATATTATAATATAACACAATCTAGGTTTGTAAACATCTGTTGTTAACTAGCCAAGATAAATACTTAAATAAGCTGAATTTATAGATTTTATGATGAAAATATGATGTAGCTTATATATGTTGTATGAAAAAGTAAACAAGCTCTATAAATATTTTAATTGAACACAGGCCTAATCTCACCAGTCCATTGGGTAAAGTCTGTACTTGGTGGTTCAAATACATGAAATTGCCATTATAGCCAGTAGCTGTATAAATGGCAAAGTTTGGCCTTGCTTGGAACACAAAACATGATGTGTTACCTATAGCATGAAAAATATAAATACTGATGTTAATGACAATAAATTTAGAAGAAAATAAATAAAAATAGTGCTAATATTTACTTTAATAATAAATAATATGATTGGCAGATCATGGGTAGTTCTAAAGGTAGAAATTGCAAATGATAGTAGTAGAGCTCCACTTTGCTAGGCCATTACAATGAGATGTGTTGGCCGTCTGTGTGAATTTATTTATTTTAGTTTAATAACTAAATTGTTTAATCAAATGTGTTGTCCATTTTACCTTTGTTTTTAAAATGTATGTTTGCTGTTGATAAAGGTTTTATTTATTATGAATTTTTTAAAGTTATATTTTAAAGACTCCTTAGAATTTAGGGAGTGTGAAATGTGCCTCAGCTAATTTTCAAAAGAGCCTGAGTTTGAAATTTAATTAAATAAAATTGACAATAATTTTTATACATTTATGGTTTAAAAATTAAGAAATTACTCTGTAACAAAAAACTAAAATAACAACCACCATTCAACTTAACCAGTAAATTTAGGATTGATATCCCAAGAAACAGAGGCAAAGCCTCCAAATACATGTCCATCTTTATCCCTGATGATCAGATAAGTTGGGCCTTTATTTCTGATACTCTGAAGCAGTTGGGAGAAGCTGCACCCATGAAGATTATTACTGAAAATAAGTTTCCACTGTGTCTGTAGATCAGTGTTCAGTGCAAAGTTGAGATAAAGGACTGTTGGGAAGTCAAGAATGGTTTTAAATTTGGACCAGTTTGTGTCTCGAACTTGTGGCACACGAGGTAGAAATGTCATTTGCTGTGGTTCTTGTTGCTGGAGGAAAGAACAAAAAGATGTCTTACTTTTGGAAACATTATCAAAAATACTAACATACTTTTTAAAAAAAACAGAAATAACTGAACACACCCTAATGTAAAAATGTTATTTCCTTGCAAAACATATGTTTGAATGTAGCAAAAAGAAAAAAAAAGTTTTTAAAAAAAGCACTAACATAGAACTGGAATGCTCCAAGTAAAACTTGTTTTAAAACCTGAGTGAACAAAATACACTTGGTCAACCATGTCTCAACATCATCCTCAGACAACATTAACTGCCCATTGGATGCTGATAATTCTGATTTTGTGACCTTAGCATTATCTGAAATATATTTAATGTAGCACAAGTAAGAAATATGCCAATGTTTTAAAGGAATTTGCGGCCAGGTAAAGTAAAAAGAAATTAGAAATCCTGAGTTTTTAAAATAATAATTACCACAAGTATTTTAATGTTTGCAGTTGCAGCAGCTATCATAGCTGAAAAGTAAATGTCACACATTCTATACTTGACACATTTATCATACCTGATTTTAAAAAATCACTCAAGAGAGATGTGGCTAAAATGTCATGTGAATCCCCCGCACTAGCAAATATCCAGCTCTGGTAGGCTGTGCAGTGCGCAGATAGCAGCTTCTCATAACTGTGCAAAATGTTGGTAACAAACTGCAGAGATGTTGGATTCTTCAGTTAGTATTATTTACTTAGACAACTCAACTCGTTACACTTAGTGATTGGATCTTTTCATTACATTTTTGTGTGAAATATATTCAAAGGAATATACATTTCCTAACAACATGCACTAATTTAAAAACATAAATGAGAATATTACATCAACAATAAATTAACTTGGTTCTCAATAAATTGCAGATCACTGAATTCAAATTAATCCAAAAAGATTTACCTTGACTAAATCTTGAACAGAAACTGTTTTTGCAGTTGAAGAAGCTAAAAAAACACATGTTTGAGCAAGATCAGGAATCTGGCCCTTCAACAGACATGCAAGCTGAGAGGCAAACTGATGTATATGTACTTCCTGTGATTGGCTGTGGTGAGCATGGTGGCGATGATGATGTTTCTGTTGCAAAGGTCCATCCAGAAAATCAAACAAGCGGTCTATGGTGTGGGCATCTAAGACTGGGCTCATAAAATGCTGGAAGAATTAATTCAACTACAATGAGCAATTGAGCACATAATATATAGTATAAACATATAGCATTTTTTACCCCAGCCCACAGCATAAAACATTTCTATAAACCATGCCTCATATTATATAACACTTCATATCAGTTTAAAGAAAAAAGCTTTATTATAAACAACGGTGCAGCTTATAGCTGAGTTAGCTGATAAAATGTGTAATAAAATAGCAGAAATTTTGCCAAAATAAGTACAAATAATCATAGCCTTAGAGTGCCAAACTGCTATGTTCCTGATGCTGCTTCCATACTCAAAGAATCATGTGGTTTTAAAACAGCCCCTGTCAAAAGGGTCAGTGACAAATGGTCCCTGCCATAAAGACTCCAGACAATACTTTTCAAAGTTAGTTTAGACATCCTTAAATAATACAACGTATGTATCTCTTGTTCGGCAGGCTTTATTTTTAATTTATTTTATCAAGTGTTATAAATAGTATGTTGACTGAGTGTGTGGGAAGAGAGGTCCAAACTGTACATTTATCTTCAATATGCTTGTAGGTTATCAAAACAAAATGTTTATTCTTTAAACATCATGTATATCGTATATTAAAACTTCTGAACAAACTTTTAAGCAAAAGATCTTCACAGGGGTTAATAGAAAATAGACAAAAAATTTAATTAGTTGCACTTTGCTGTAAAGAGTTCAATTTCTTTTAATGAATTGCAGGTGGTTTGTGATAAGTTTTTTCATTTAGGAGATGGAACTGCATGTGGTTGGTGGGTTGGACAAAATGGTTACATTTATGCCAAAAGTAGTCATACGTTTTATTTGTCTAGAGCCAATACATTGGGCTCTTTTGACTGGGTTGTTTTGTCTGACACTATGAAATACTCTAGGGACGGCTCAAAATGTATACCCTAATATTAATATAACAACAAACAAAAACTCTGGATAGTTTATACTAGTATTGCTCGCTAACCTGGAGGTGGGGCAGGTTGCTTACAACGATATGCTGTTCACACTGGACAGATGACTTCCAACGATTTTTTTGCCTAATTCCAAGGACCTACTTAGAATTATTTTTATAAATGTTTACCACGAGCGAAATGACAGGATTTTCCACATTATAACAACAAACTATAAGGCATTTCAAAACTTGCTTTGGAGAATTTTTAAATATAAAAGTTAGTTTCATTAAAATAATAGAACTTTTTAAATATCAATTTCCAGAGTACAAAAATGATAACCATAATTGCATAATGAAGCATTATTAGGTTTATCAATCTATGAAAAATAAATAACATATTGTCAAAGGTTTTTTTTAAGACCGCAAAAAAAAATGACAGCCAAATTAAAAAAAAACAATCGCATGACCACTAGATCTAGTATTTGATATATTACAATATATTATATATAATAGGCTACTAACTTCTATTAATAATTAAAGCCTTAACAATGAGTTAACTTTTTTGTACATTACTAGCCGCGGGCGATTTACATAACTTAAATGATAGATTACCAATTATTTAAATAATAAATCGAAGTGTGTTCACAGTCGACTGTGAATAGCCGTATTGGGGCTATTCACAGTCGTGACAGTTTTTTGATAGAAATCTAGATTTAATGCTAAAAATACCCAACTGTGCATGAAGATATGTGGTCGAGCGGTCATGGGGAGAGGCTGTCATGCCAGAAGGTGTGGGTTCAAATCCATGAGTTGCCAATTGGTCTAATTAGATCTAGATTCTAGATTCTACTTGAGTTACTAATGGAAGTGTTATTTTTGTTAATTTTTTTTTCGTTTGTGACGTAATTGTTGGCATATCAGCAAAAAAATAAAGGACCTGTCCCGTAGATTTTTGCTAAGAGAAAAAAACAAAAGTGTGATGGAGACTGTGAATTATAGCTGATGAAAAAGGACATCCTATTTCACCTGATATTTACTCTATGTGATAATGTGAATTTTTAATGGTAATTGATAGTTGAATAGCAATGTGAACAAACAACTAAACTGATAATACTTAGGCTTAGGCTAATTAGTATTATTTATTTAAAAATTACTACATCTATTATTCTAGTGTATAGATTTAAAGAGCATAATTGATCATCTTATTGTATGACCTACTGGCTACGTCCTACGTAGACGTAGCCTGTCTGATATGAGCCTAAAAGTTAAACTAAACTTTAATGGTAAATAACTTTTTTTATAAAAATATAACAAAATAAAAATAGCCCTGCTCTCTTAATCTATACCTCACTCCCCAGTCACAATAAATGCTTTTATTATTTTAAGATATTATTCACAGTCGTATTTAGTAGTTTTTCTTACTATTTGTGAAATCTACTTAATTCTCAATTTAAACATGACAACTGAATAAAAAACGTCCATACTTTATCCTCTAGGCACTAAATTTGGGGGTTGTGGCGAGTTTAGACTAAATTATTGAATTTTAAATTTATTTGTCACTCACAGCTATGATATGACGGATCATCCATGACAACCTGGTTAAAAGTTGAAAGGTTTAACTTTTTAAGTGACCGTGAAATAGATCTAATTTTTTTTCACAAGAGAGTTCCTAAAAGTAGAATTGGCCCGTCTATCGTCGGGATATATTTATAGAGGAAAAAAAATTAAGAGAATGTCATCAGAAATAAATTTAAAAAAAGACAAGACAGAAGTGATGTTTGAATTCTTTTATTTCTTTAATTTTATAACAATTTTTATTGTACAAAAGAGCAAAATAAAAAGCCATGCCAGGTAAACGTATCCATTCAAATAGCGGTCACGTGGTCAAAAAAAATAAAAAAAATTGGTTGTCATTTTTTGGACACATCATATAAAAAAAAGTGTTGAAGATATTTGATTTATTTTTTCATAGAATGATAAAACTAATAATGCTTTACTTTGGAAATCAATTTTGTGATAGGGAGATCTATATTTAAAAAGTTATATTATTTTGAATGACACCGACTTTAAATTTAGCCTACATTCCCCAAAGCAATTTTTGAAAATGCTTTTCTGGCATATTTAGCCTTGCCACCTATAGCATGTTTTTATAACGTGAAAACCCGCCATTTTAATCGTGATAAACATTTTTAAAAGTAATTCTAAGAAGGTCTCTGGAACTAAGTCGAAAAACTCGCCGGAAGTCATGGTCCGATCCTTACGCCATGTTCTGGTTAGCAACCAAGGACGCTTTTAAGTTAGTGAGCCTCCCTAGTAATAACTTTTTTTATAAAAATATAACAAAATAAAAATAGCCCTGCTCTCTTAATCTATACCTCACTCCCCAGTCACAATAAATGCTTTTATTATTTTAAGATATTATTCACAGTCGTATTTAGTAGTTTTTCTTACTATTTGTGAAATCTACTTAATTCTCAATTTAAACATGACAACTGAATAAAAAACGTCCATACTTTATCCTCTAGGCACTAAATTTGGGGGTTGTGGCGAGTTTAGACTAAATTATTGAATTTTAAATTTATTTGTCACTCACAGCTATGATATGACGGATCATCCATGACAACCTGGTTAAAAGTTGAAAGGTTTAACTTTTTAAGTGACCGTGAAATAGATCTAATTTTTTTTCACAAGAGAGTTCCTAAAAGTAGAATTGGCCCGTCTATCGTCGGGTAATATTTTTAGAGGAAAAAAATTTAAGAGAATGTCATCAGAAAAGAATTTAAAAAAAGACAAGACAGAAGTGATTTTTGAATTCTTTTATTTCTTTAATTTTATGACATTTTTTATTGTACAAAAGAGCAAAATAAAAAACCATGCCAGGTAAACGTATCCATTCAAATAGCGGTCACGTGGTCAAAAAAAAAAAAAAAAATGTGGTTGTCATTTCTCGGTCGATCTTATAAAAAAACGGTTGAAGATATTTGATTTATTTTTTCATAGAATGATAAAACTAATAATGCTTTACTATGGAAATCGATTTTGTGAGAGGGAAATCTATATTTAAAAAGTTAAATTATTTTGAATGACACCGACTTTAAATTTAGCCTACATTCCCCAAAGCAATTTCTGAAAATGCTTTTCTGGCATATTTAGCCTTGCCACCTATAGCATGTTTTTATAACGTGAAAACCCGCCATTTTACTCGTGATAAACATTTTTAAAAGTAATTCTAAGAAGGTCTCTGGAACTAAGTCGAAAAACTCGCCGGAAGTCATGGTCCGATCCTTACGCCATGTTCTGGTTAGCAACCAAGGACGCTTTTAAGTTAGTGAGCCTCCCTAGTATTTAGCAAGAAATGACAGCGGAATGTGAATAGCCGTATTGGGGCTATTCACAGTCGGCTGGGAATATCCCCAGTACTGCTATTCCCAACCGGCTGGGAATAGCCTTGGCCATAATAAATAAGGTTAGTTAGGCCTATACACTCACCATCTATACACTTCTTTCTTAAATTCAGCCTACCTGCAAGTTTTCTTTGTTAAAACTTTTTCTTCCATGAGAAATGCTAGAAAATACATAATTAACTTTCTCTTTTTCATCTTCATTAAACATTAACTCGTGCTTGAGGTCTGTGGATTTACTTTCTGATCCACCCATGTCTTATCTTTATGTCTCAGAAAACATATAATAATCTAGCTAGGGCTGTGCTAGATCTATACTCTATACTATTTAAGTAGAGGACAGTAAGAGAAATGTAACACCAACTCAGAGCTTTCTATGACCATGACATTGCATAGCATGTTTATTTACCTTGATATCAATTGTTCACTTTTCTATTGGAGAGCTATAAATAAACATTTAAACTCCGAAAATTGAAAGAAAAATATAAAAGGTTAGAGCCTACTTTTTTGAAGGATACAAAAATAAAATTCAGATTTCAAAAAGTTTTTTTTTATGGTGAAAACAAATTTAGCAAAATTAGGGTTAGGGCTAGATTGGGTTAGAATCTATTAGACATACCCAAATCCAATATACTCATTCACTGGGCAAATTTTAAAAATTATGAATAGGGCCTATTATAATATTAGTCCAATTAGATCTAGGGCCTAAAGATTTTATTTTATAATTTTAGGTCACAACCCATATTCGATAATAAATAATAACATTTACAATAATAGTATTTTTACCAGAAAACTTTGTTGTTTCTTATCTACCGATATGTTGGTTATATACAAATATACATCGGCAATCAATCAATCAATCAATCAATTAATCAATCAATGGGCCTAATATCCGCTTTTATATATTTTAAATGAGGAAAAAGACGTGATTTCATCGCGGTATCCTAAATGTGCAATGACGCCTCGTTTTATTTAAATGAATTATCAATGCGGGGCTCTGTTTCATTTTAAATAGAAAAAAAAAGATTAGGGCCTACTTTAACCATAGTCTATATGTGATGTTTTGAATATAAAATATAATTAAATGAATTTAACTTTTGTGCACTTCTAGACTACGTTTATTTAATTTAAATTTCAGATATTTCAAGACATGCTGTTTCAGACACTTGCCAAAATTCACAAAGATACTAAATGGATTATGCAAATACTCCAAATAGCAATTATTGAAATCTGCAACTACATGATTCATGGAAATGCGTTACCGCCTTGTATTGGTATAGGTGAAGACTAATACTAAAATAGAAATTAGAAAAGGTGAGATTGGAAAGAACAGTATATCAAGTGATTATTTGAAAGAATTGTAGATCTATATCGGATTTGTTGATTATCGATACAGAGCTTGAGTCTAAGCTTTATTTATCGGGATGCAACGGTGTTATTTGGCGGTTTTCAGCAATTAGAGTTTCCATAGTTATTACTAAAATGAGTCAGAAAAAAAAATCGAAAATACACTTTTGAAGATTATTTATTAGATCTAGACCTCTAGGTATTAGTTACTTATTCTCTAGATCTAGATTTAAATCTAGATAGATCTATAGTATTCTAGTATTAATTTAATACCTATTCAAAGTATTCATTCTAAATTCTAATGATTCTTTTCATTTCATTGTCACTTGACAGGACCAGGACAGTGACATTCTCAAAATCTGATTCAATCAATCATTCAATTGTTTTTAATTTTTTGTTACAAGTAGCCTAACGTTAACAAGTTGTTTTCGCCCTAGATTAAAATAATTTAAAAGTAGGCCTATTATTTCACCATTTACTCTATTGTATAGTATTGTGGGTAAAACTCCATTTTAGCGTATTGTATTCCCCTCTCAATATGCTTAACCAGAGGTTAACGTGAAGCTGCGAATAAAATATGTTAAACTGAAGTTTTACCGTATTGTGGTATTTTAAAGTATTTTATTCTATAGGCCTACAACTTATAGGTTATTGATTTTTATTGGTAATCTATCTTTTTAGGTGCGTAAAATTGGCCAAGGCTAGATTTTAGTAACGTACTTTTATTAAAGCTTTAACAATGAGGCAGCTTACATTACTAGCCTCACCTAAGACCTAAAACAATAGATTACCTTATTAATATTATTATTATATCATTATAATTCTAGTTACTAGTAGGTAGTAATTTTATTAGTTTTAGTGTTGAAGGTATCGGCCGAGTTTGCGGTAAAAACATGACTCGAAATCTCCCATTACTTTCTGATACTGGGTGCACGAGGTTTGGTTTTGCATAGGCCTACTAATAAGTTTTTTTAATTTATGGTAATTAATTAAGTTTAAGGGGGTAGGCTCCAGTAAAAAAACCTTTTCATTGCTAGAGAGCAAGCAATTTTTTCTCTATAGCTTTTTTAAGGTACATCCAAATATGCATTTCCACTAAAAAAAAAAATTGGTAAATATTTTTTGGTAACTATGACAATCATAATGGCGGCCATCTTGAAAATTAACGGTTTAACCTCTTAGTAGGATTTACACCATTCATAAAATATTACATTTTATGTCCAATAGACAATGAATTCATAATCTTCCATATTTTGGGGTACTCAGCTAAAAATTTTAAGTGTAGATCTGCAAACTAATTTCTTATGAATTGTCAAATTTCGGAGATGATAAAAAACAATTTTGAGGAATTTCGGGGCATTAAAACCTATTTCACTAAGTAATTTTAGAATCCTAGTTTAGTAGTTTTTTTACTTCATCTTCAGTAGCCATCTCATCACTGTCACATCCTCATTCAGCAATTCACTGGCCTCACTCTTGAATACTCATGATGGTGGAACTCATGACATCCCTACCTTTCAGAATAAAAGGCAAATCATAATGTTAAAGACAAGCTTGAATGTAAAGGTCATCAACATCCTTATTATATTGATAGAAGTATACAGCAGTTATGGAGCTGTTTCTGGCAACAATCTATTGCTAGAGCCACCCAATGGACCTAATAGATCTCCTGAGGAGGAGAAGAGTGAGTGATGAGTCCTTGAATCTTTCAAAATGTTTTTTTTTATTTCTTTAATTTTGAAGTTGTATACTTATACACATGCTATAAATTAGGATAATATAGCATGTGTTTGCATGAAGAGAGCATGCCAACTAAATCAATTGTGTCAATGTAAATAGTATGGGGTCTGGAGGACTAATCTTATAAAGTAGCTTATCAATGGAGCTGGGAGGGGGGTTGCTTATTACACAGAATTAATTTTCTACCAATTTTTAGATTCTAGAACATTTTAAAGATTTCTGTTTAAAAACATATATAATCGTGCCTATTTATAAGTACACCACAAATTTTACTAACTGAATATCAGTAAACTAGTTTTGGGTACGAGTAGTTAAAAAATCAGTAATTCAAGCTTACAAATAACAGATTAATTGAGGGACAGCATTATTTTCCAATAACTGTTTTGGTTTTGAAATACATAGCTTGAGCTTTTAATAAGTATCTAAACTCCTACCCCAACAGAAGAACAGACTTTTGAATACATGGTACTTACAATCCCCCCTCTCTCTCTCCTCCCCCCCCCCCCCCACTACTCATTTATTATTGGTAGTACTGAACTCATTCAAGTGAATCTGCAAAGAAACCAACCTTATGGTAGTTATTTTTTGTTGGCCATTATAAGAAGGCGGATAAATTTTGGCCAAAAACTCAACAGCTTTTATAAGGATTTGTTTAATGATCATTAGAACATTTGGTAAAATTTTTGGTAGCACCACTGAATGTTTCTACAAGTCGGGACAAGAAAGAGCATTTTTTATTATCTAATGCTTAAAGTATCTGATGTCAAAATTAACCCTTAAAGGCTGAGTTAACTTTTGAATGATTTAGAATGGAATTATTTCATCATCCTTGTTATATAGTGGCCAACATTCATCATCCTTGTTATATAGTGGCCAACACTCATTATCCTTGTTAAATGGCCAATATTCCTGATCCTTGTTATATGGCCAATATTCCTGATCCTTGTTATAGGGGCCAATATTCCTGGTCCTTGTTATAATGTTTAAACTTTGTTATTAGTTTGGTGCACAGCAGAACAGGTGCATCTGAGCTTTGGCAGCTCAGTGTCAGAGATGACAGTGATGTGGTCCACTAGAGGAGACTGCAGCATGCTGGTCCAGTACGCCCCACACCCCTGGAACCTCAACCACGCAGCAGAGGGGATGAGTGTTGAACTTGCAGATGCTGAGTTCAATAGTTTCAAGTTCATTCACAGAGCAGAACTAAAGGTCTGTAGTTTTGTTTGAAGTCGTTTTTTTTAAAGTAGCTTTTGTTTAAGTAACTATTTAATCAGTAATTATTCTAATTATTTTCCTTTATTAATGAAACAGTTATTTAACAGCTATTTTAATTTTCTCTATGGTTTGTTACTAATGGCCTGTTGAACATTTTCCCCTATAGGACCTGTTACCATCAACAACGTACTACTTTCGTCCAATGACCACAAGTAATGTCGGAGCTGGTCCCTTGTATTTTCTGACACCAGCTGCACCAAATGTGGTAGGTGCTACAAGTTTTTTTATAATGCACTCCAGCATTTGCTTTAAGTCTACTCAAACATCCTAATCTGAGTATCCTAATCTAGATGTGACAAGTTTACATATAAAATAATATGACATGTTTTTCAGACAAATCCAGTCAACTTTCTGATCTCAAGTCACCTGGATACCACTGGATCCATGAAGCCTATTGTAGATGAAGCTCTGTCTGGCAAATATGCAGCTTTGCTATACAATGGTGAACTAGAAAGCCAGTTACACCCAACTGCCATGGAAAAAGCTGAGGAGACTTTTCTTTCCCAACTCTCACAAGTGACAGCTTATCTACCCATGTTGACAGCTCCAGACAAAAAAGGTATTTGAGGTGTTTTTTAAAATTCAAGTTATTTTATAAATTTGGGACTTACTTGTTGTAAAAAAAAAATTACAGCTTGATAACAGGAGAATGTATACTGTTTGGTTCAAAGACATCAAAGTTAAGTACTTTACTTAGTTCAATAAGTAAAAATTAGTGTAAATGCACATCACTTAGTTACTGTCCTGTATGAATGTGGCCATATGAATGTTGCCATTACTGTCCTGTATGAATGTTGCCATTACTGTCCTGTATGAATGTTGCCATTACTGTCCTGCATGACTGTTGCCATTACTGTCCTGTATGAATGTTACCATTACTGTCCTGTATGAATGTTGCCATTACTGTCCTGCATGACTGTTGCCATTACTGTCCTGTATGAATGTTGCCATTACTGTCCTGCATGACTGTTGCCATTACTGTCCTGTATGAATGTTGCCATTACTGTCCTGTATGAATGTTGCCATTACTGTCCTGCATGACTGTTGCCATTACTGTCCTGTATGAATGTTGCCATTACTGTCCTGTATGAATGTTGCCATTACTGTCCTGCATGACTGTTGCCATTACTGTCCTGTATGAATGTTGCCATTACTGTCCTGTATGAATGTTGCCATATGAATGTTGCCATTACTGTCCTGTATAAATGTTGCCATATGAATGTTGCCATTACTGTCCTGTATGAATGTTGCCATTACTGTCCTGTATGAATGTTGCCATTACTGTTCTGTATGAATGTTGCCATTACTGTCCTGCATGACTGTTGCCATTACTGTCCTGTATGAATGTTGCCATTACTGTCCTGTATGAATGTTGCCATATGAATGTTGCCATTACTGTCCTGTATGAATGTCGCCATAACTGTCCTGTATGAATGTTGCCATTACTGTTCTGTATGAATGTTGCCATTACTGTCCTGTATGAATGTCACTATATGAATGTTGCCATTAATGTCCTGCATGAATCTGCTAATGACAGGTCCAACTACTGAAGGGGAAGATGGGCTTTACCTGTACCGGAACATTTTTTCTATGCCTGGAACTGATTGGCCAACACCTGCAGATAAATTGTGGTACAGCATCGACATCGGATCCGTTCATCTTGTCAGGTGAGGACATCTGTCAATACATGGATGAATGGATGTAAATCTGTTAATACATCAGTGGACTCATGGTTTAAGTTACATAGTTCATATCTAGCACCTTCACAATTGTGCTCAAGTTTGCTTATCTGACGTAGTGTCATTTTTTTTTAGTTTCACAAAACAAAAATAATTCACTTATAGAAGTGCAAAATAAATTTTCTGTGTATAAGTAAAGTTTATGTCAGTATGTTAGTATTGTGTCTAACTTATGTTTGTACAAGGCATACAGCCTTGCTTCATTTGAGAATTTGAATGATTAATTCATTGGTGATTACCTGTTGTGTGGAATGTTTAAGTTTAAACAGTAATTTCTTGTTAAAGGATTGCTGGTGAATATGCACAAACTTATTACTCGCAAGGTAATTAAAACAACAGAGGCATTCTTTACAGTATAACTCAAAGATTATATTTAATTAAATTTTGAAGTTCATTTCTACAATTTAATTAGGATAAATACCTTAATGTATAATGAAATTCTTAAAATGACATTGTCATTTTATGTTTTTGAAAAATAATTAGAAAGTTACCTCCCTTCTAAATAGACAGAATGACGTAGTCTTTCTTTTTTTCACAAACAATTGCTATGCTTATATAAGAAAATATGGCATCTGGACAAATCTAAAGCCCCTAAGGGTTTCTGACTATCAAAAACTCTCCAGGGTCTGTCTACGACCTCTCAAAATATCAAGGGGTGGGTGGGATAGTTCGGCAGTAGGTTTTATCGATATATTGCTCAAATAAGGATAATTTCACTCGCTGTCATTTTTTCGATTCTTCGAGGGCTAAGAGTCTGACCATGTCAGACTTGACCTGTACTGCCCATGTCAGACTTGACCTGTACTGCCTATGTCAGACTTGACCTGTACTGCCCATGTCAGACTTGACCTGTACTGCCCATGTCAGACTTGACCTGTACTGCCCATGTCAGACTTGACCTGTACTGCCCATGTCAGACTTGACCTGTACTGCCTCTATGCCAGACTTGACCTGTACTGCCCATGTCAGACTTGACCTGTACTGCCTCTATGCCAGACTTGACCTGTACTGCCCATGTCAGACTTGACCTGTACTGCCTCTATGCCAGACTTGACCTGTACTGCCCATGTCAGACTTGACCTGTACTGCCCATGTCAGGCTTGACCTGTACTGCCTCTATGCCAGACTTGACCTGTACTGCCTCTATGCCAGACTTGACCTGTACTGCCCATGTCAGACTTGACCTGTACTGCCCATGTCAGGCTTGACCTGTACTGCCCATGTCAGACTTGACCTGTACTGCCTCTATGCCAGACTTGACCTGTACTGCCCATGTCAGACCTGACCTGTACTGCCCATGTCAGACTTGACCTGTACTGCCTCTATGCCAGACTTGACCTGTACTGCCCATGTCAGACTTGACCTGTACTGCCTCTATGCCAGACTTGACCTGTACTGCCTCTATGCCAGACTTGACCTGTACTGCCCATGTCAGACCTGACCTGTACTGCCCATGTCAGACTTGACCTGTACTGCCTCTATGCCAAACTTGACCTGTACTGCCCATGCCAGACTTGACCTGTACTGCCTCTATGCCAGACTTGACCTGTACTGCCCATGTCAGACTTGACCTGTACTGCCTCTGTGCCAGACTTGACCTGTACTGCCCATGTCAGACTTGACCTGTACTGCCCATGTCAGACTTGACCTGTACTGCCCATGCCAGACTTGACCTGTACTGCCTCTATGCCAGACTTGACCTGTACTGCCCATGTCAGACTTGACCTGTACTGCCTCTATGCCAGACATGACCTGTACTGCCCATGTCAGACTTGACCTGTACTGCCCATGTCAGGCTTGACCTGTACTGCCTCTATGCCAGACTTGACCTGTACTGCCCATGTCAGACTTGACCTGTACTGCCTCTGTGCCAGACTTGACCTGTACTGCCCATGTCAGACTTGACCTGTACTGCCCATGTCAGACTTGACCTGTACTGCCCATGCCAGACTTGACCTGTACTGCCCATGTCAGACTTGACCTTTACTGCCTCTATGCCAGACATGACCTGTACTGCCCATGTCAGACTTGACCTGTACTGCCCATGTCAGGCTTGACCTGTACTGCCTCTATGCCAGACTTGACCTGTACTGCCCATGTCAGACTTGACCTGTACTGCCTCTATGCCAGACTTGACCTGTACTGCCCATGTCAGACTTGACCTGTACTGCCTCTATGCCAGACTTGACCTGTACTGCCCATGTCAGACTTGACCTGTACTGCCCATGTCAGACTTGACCTGTACTGCCCATGTCAGACTTGACCTGTACTGCCCATGTCAGACTTGACCTGTACTGCCCATGTCAGACTTGACCTGTACTGCCCATGTCAGACTTGACCTGTACTGCCTCTATGCCAGACATGACCTGTACTGCCCATGTCAGACTTGACCTGTACTGCCCATGTCAGGCTTGACCTGTACTGCCTCTATGCCAGACTTGACCTGTACTGCCCATGTCAGACTTGACCTGTACTGCCTCTATGCCAGACTTGACCTGTACTGCCCATGTCAGACTTGACCTGTACTGCCTCTATGCCAGACTTGACCTGTACTGCCCATGTCAGACTTGACCTGTACTGCCCATGTCAGACTTGACCTGTACTGCCCATGTCAGACTTGACCTGTACTGCCCATGTCAGACTTGACCTGTACTGCCCATGTCAGACTTGACCTGTACTGCCCATGTCAGACTTGACCTGTACTGCCTCTATGCCAGACTTGACCTGTACTGCCCATGTCAGACTTGACCTGTACTGCCCATGTCAGACTTGACCTGTACTGCCCATGTCAGACTTGACCTGTACTGCCCATGCCTGACTTGACCTGTACTGCCCATGCCAGACTTGACCTGTACTAGCGCCCAGGAAAACCAACTATTTTGTTTACTTCTAACACAGCTACTCCACTGAAATGTTGTTTGAGGCAGACAACAGAAGAGCCAAGCTGCAACAAGAGTGGCTGGTGAAAGATTTGATGCAGGTCAACAAGAACAGGGAAGCAACTCCATGGGTTATAGCCCTTGGCAGCCATCCCATGTACTGTTCTTATGGCGTTGCAGACACTGATGACTGTGCCCAAAACACTTCTAAAGTCAAACATGGGTAACTATTTTAATTAAAAGTAAAGTTCCCTTTCAAACCTGACAGTCTATGGGGCAAATGAAGTAGAGTTCACTTGTTTCTGTGACCTCGGCATATGAAGAGATAATGTGGTCAGCACTATGCCCAGCCGCCTTTACTCTCCCTAACTTAGGTACCCATCAGAGTTGTGTGGACTCAGGGACGGTCTACTGACTTGAACCCGGATTCGAACTCGAGACTTACAGGTTAGCAGTCCAGCTCTGTACCGCTAGACCACTCAGTCCCATACTATTTTAATTACTGTGCTGAAATTTTTTCCCTCAACTTACTGACTTCAATTGAATTGTATTTTGTCCAGCTTTTCTATTCTCTGCAATGATCTCCCCTTTCTATTCTCTGCAATGATCTCCCCTTTCCATTCTCTGCAATGATCTCCCCTTTCCATTCTCTGCAATGATCTCCCCTTTCTGCCAGGCTGGAGGACATCTTCTACCACTTTGGTGTGGACCTGGTGGTAGAGTCCCGCCACAGTTTCTATGAGAGGACATGGCCCCAGTACAAAGGTGTGCTCCTCAACACCAGCTATGTGCAGCCCAGGGCACCCATACAGGTTGTCATTGGATACAACCCCACCCCCAAAGTCAGGGATGAGAATACCACCTCAGCCCCACCCACAGCAGGTAAATTTTTTTTTTACTTGCTAGGGAATTTTTTTTGTACAGTTTGCACATATCATTGTGCTTTGCAGCTATTACTGAACCATTATGTTATTCATCAAGTCAGTTTTAGCACAATGACCTTATACCCCTTATATAAGTAAGGGCATATGTAAAAGTAGAGTTGTTTACAATTGAAATATTGTTTATAATATTTCTATTTTTAAAACAAACATCCTACAGCTGAATGGTCAGCTTTCCACCTCAGTGAGCCAACCAACATGAGCTACGCTAGGCTGTCTGTCATCAATGCTAGCCATCTGCGCTGGGAACTGGTGTCTGACCAGTCTGTGCTGGACACTTTCTGGCTCATACAGGACAACCACGGCAACTTTAGGTCAGATTTTTTTACTTGTTTGTTTAGGGCAACTTTAGGTCAGATTTTTTTACTTGTAGGTCAACCACGGCAACTTTAGGTCAGATTTTTTTTTTTTAGGTCAACTGGCAACTTTAGGTCATTTTTAGTTGTAGCCAATGTTTGAATGATTTAGCTGTAGCCAATGTGTGAATGATTTAGTTGTAGCCATAGTGTGAATGATTGAGCTGTAGCCATAGTGTGAATGATTTAGCTGTAGCCAATGTGTGAATGATTTAGCTGTAGCCAGTGTGTGAATGATTTAGCTGTAGCCATAGTGTGAATGATTGAGTTGTAGCCATAGTGTGAATGATTTAGCTGTAGCCATAGTGTGAATGATTTAGCTGTAGCCATAGTGTAAATAATTTAGCTATAGCCATAGTGTGAATGATTTAGCTGTAGCCATAGTGTGAATGATTTAGCTGTAGCCGTAATGCGAATGATTTAGCTGTAGCCATTGCGTGAATGATTTAGCTGTAGCCATTGCGTGAATGATATAGCTGTAGCCAATGTTTGAATGATTTAGCTGTAGTCAATGTGTGAATGATTTAGCTGAAGCCAATGTGTGAATGATTTAGCTGTAGCCATAGTGTGAATGATTTAGCTGTAGCCAATGTGTTGAATGATTTCAGCCTAGCCAGTGTGTTGAATGATTTAGCTGTAGCCAGTGTGTTGAATGATTTAGCTGTAGCCATAGTATGAATGATTTAGCTGTAGCCATAGTGTGAATGATTTAGCTATAGCCAATGTATTGAATGATTTAGCTGTAGCCAGTGTGTGAATGATTTAGCTGTAGCCAATGTGTTGAATGATTTAGCTGTAGCCAATGTGTTGAATGATTTAGCTGTAGCCAATGTGTTGAATGATTTAGCTGTAGCCAATGTGTTGAATGATTTAGCTGTAGCCAATGTGTTGAATGATTTCAGCCTAGCCATAGTGTGAATGATTTAGCTGTAGCCAATGTGTTGAATGATTTCAGCCTAGCCAGTGTGTGAATGATTTAGCTGTAGCCAATGTGTTGAATGATTTCAGCCTAGCCAGTGTGTGATTGTGTGAGCTGTAGCCAATGTGTGAATGATTTAGCTGTAGCCATAGTGTGAATGATTTAGCTGTAGCCAATGTGTTGAATGATTTCAGCCTAGCCATAGTGTGAATGATTTAGCTGTAGCCAATGTGTTGAATGATTTCAGCCTAGCCATAGTGTGAATGATTTAGCTGTAGCCAATGTGTTGAATGATTTCAGCCTAGCCAGTGTGTGATTGTGTGAGCTGTAGCCAATGTGTTGAATGATTTCAGCCTAGCCATAGTGTGAATGATTTAGCTGTAGCCAATGTGTTGAATGATTTAGCGGTAGCCATAGTGTGAATGATTTAGCTGTAGCCAATGTGTTGAATGATTTAGCTGTAGCCATAGTGTGAATGATTTAGCTGTAGCCAATGTGTTGAATGATTTCAGCCTAGCCATAGTGTGAATGATTTAGCTGTAGCCAATGTGTTGAATGATTTAGCTGTAGCCAATGTGTTGAATGATTTAGCTGTAGCCAATGTGTTGAATGATTTAGCTGTAGCCAATGTGTTGAATGATTTAGCTGTAGCCAATGTGTTGAATGATTTAGCTGTAGCCATGTGTTGAATGATTTCAGCCTCGCCAGCCTCCCCCACAACATCAGCCACCAGATTAACCAGACCATCCTGGCCCTGGGGGGCAAGCCTGGCACGTACGACTTCATCAGCGGCAGCTCAGGTGACCCGCAGGAGGTGGAGGGCTGGTCCCAGTACTCTCTGTGGCTGGGCTTGGCCGTGCTTGCCGCAGTTGTCTTCCTGGTGCTGGGGGCGCTCATGCTCAGGTCATGCATTAGAAAGAAACGTGCCAGGGGCGGGCGTCGGTGGAGGGACGTTGACCGAGACTCCAGCGGCAGTGGCAATTTCTACTCTGTGGGCTCCGACTCTGACTCTGATGACAATGATTTTGAGATCGACGTCTATGACAAGGCCAGTAAACAGAGCTCTAAGCTGCTCACATCCTACTAGTGTAGCCTGGAGATGTGCACATACAAAGACATGCATACTTCATTTCTTTTCCTGAGTTCATTGACCTTTTGTCTTTCTACACCAAGTAGTTGGAGTGGGTAGGTTTTTGTGTGTTTTGTTGGGCCCTTAAGGATGTGGGTGGCTTTTGTGAAGATATTTTTGTTTCGCTCACTGAGATCTGTTGCTTGAATCTCAGTGCTTATAAATGACAACTTTGACTTTCCCGTGTCAACATTTTATGCTGGTGCTACATTTATCATTGAACACTTAGCAAGATATCTGATAGTTCACTGGATGGTTTCAGATGTATTTGGTCTAAAACTTTGATGCTTCAGAGTTCAGTAAAAACAGCTGATGTTAGCACAATGATGTTGGCACAATGTCGCTGATGTTATCAAATTTGGAACACAATTCATTTAGTTGTCTTGTTAGTACAGTACAACTCTTTCAGCTGTTGGCCATTTTTAGATCTAGAGGCCTGAAAAACAGTTTTAAATCTAAAGCTTTGAAAGGCAAGATTAATTTAAGCCAGCACATAAAACATAATGCCATGTTTTCTTAAATTATCATCACTTTTTTAATACCTCTTATAATTCATTTTGATATTGTATAATCATTAATTATCTAATATCAGCATTAATTATATTATTTTTCTTGTTTAATATCTGACACCATAACTTAAAATGAAAGTTTTTAAAAAGCTAAGTGTTGTTGTATATCTGTGGTTTTTTGCTAACGTCCCGATGAAATTGGGTTTTTTAACTATTTTTGTACATGCTGTTTTTTTGCATTTTCACAAATGTGCAACTCTTGCATATTTCTAGGTTTGTTTTTATTGAAACTTTCTGTACAAAGATTTCTTGTGATTGTTACTAAAATGTCACAGGGTTATCGTCACTAAAATGTCACAGGGTTTATGTCACTAAAATGACACATGGTTTATGTCACTAAAATGACACAGGGTTTATGTCACTAAAATGTCACAGGGTTTATGTCACTAAAATGTCACAGGGTTAACATCACTAAAATGTCACAGGGTTTATGTCACTAAAATGTCACAGGGTTTATGTCACTAAAATGACACAGGGTTAACATCACTAAAATGTCACAGGGTTATCGTCACTAAAATGACACAGGGTTTATGTCACTAAAATGTCACAGGGTTTATGTCACTAAAATGTCACAGGGTTAACATCACTAAAATGTCACAGGTTTATGTCACTAAAATGTCACAGGGTTTATGTCACTAAAATGTCACAGGGTTAACATCACTAAAATGTCACAGGTTTATGTCACTAAAATGTCACAGGGTTTATGTCACTAAAATATCACAGGGTCCGTTCAATTTGTCACCCACTGATGTTACTGCAGAACTCTGTACAGACAGCAGGTAGTGCAAGCACCCTGTCAGGTTTGTTGTGGCAGGTTTGTTGTGGCAGGTTTGTTGTGGCAGGTTTGTTGTGGCAGGTTTGTTGTGGCAGGTTGTCCTGGCAGGTTTGTTGTGGCAGGTTTGTTGTGGCAGGTCATCCTGGCAGGTTTGTTGTGGCAGATTGTCCTGGCAGGTTTGTTGTGGCAGCGCCTCGATCATGGCCGACAGCGCGTCTCTTCCTGTCCCAGTGTTTTCTTAGCAAGTTCAGACTTGCGATAAATATCCTGAAGGTTATCTTGTCACATTCAAATAAGTGTCACATTCAAATAAGTGTCACATTCAAATAAGTGTCACATTCAAATAAGTGCTGTTTACAGCAAGTTGCAATGTTTACTCTGTACATTCAGAGTTTTGTGAAAATCAACTCATTTATCATTCTAGTCATGTTATATGGGAGCCATGGTTCATGATATAGGGGCTCATGATATAGGGGAGCCATGGTTCATGATATAGGGGCTCATGATATAGGGGAGCCATGGTTCATGATATAGGGGCTCATGATATATGGGAGCCATGGTTCATGATATAGGGGCTCATGATATAGGGGAGCCATGGTTCATGATATAGGGGCTCATGATATATGGGAGCCATGGTTCATGATATAGGGGCTCATGATATAGGGGAGCCATGGCTCCAGTTGTAAGGGGAACAATGGCTCACATTTTTGGCTCACCACACCTGTCAATTTTTTCTTTAGTCACATGGCACAGACTTGTGTCTTGCTGTCGTTGTCAGTCACATGGCACAGACGTGTGTCTTGCTGTCGTTGTCAAAGACGTGTTTTTTTTTCCTGATCTAGAATAAAAGTTAAAAACAAAAGACTCTTCTATCCCTCCCAACCATTAGTTCATGTAAGTTAGCCTCACGTTCTCATGTAAGTTAGCCTAACGTTCTAAACATTTATTCCATTGAAATTCAGTATCAGGTCATTTTTTATTTTATCCCATCCTGTGTTTGATTTCATTTTTTTTTTATTTGTAAAAATATTTGGATGCTATTTATTAAAACAAAGTATGTAGATATTATCCATGTAATGTTACATTTGTAGAATGTATTTGGTTTGACACAATTATTTTTTTTCAAATATTTATACTACTTGAGAGCCACAAGTATAATTATGTCATGTTTGGTTAAGCATGGCTTATGCTTGGTTAAGCATGGTTTGTCATGCTGATTAATTTAAAATTTTCTAATGTTAATTCACTGGTGTACTTAAAGTAAATTATGTTATTGTTTACATTGCTTACTTTGTAATATTTATAGTAAAATCTTGTAGTATTGATGTCACATGACTATGAAGTGTCATGTGGCTAGTCATGTGATGTTCTCCTGTGTGCACAGAGGCCAAAGTTTCGCCAGTCCTGGTCCCCAGTGAGACCCCACCAGTTACCTGTACACTATTTCAGTCAAATGATGCATCAGTGAGACCCCACTAGTTACCTGTACACTATTTCAGTCAAATGATGCATCAGTGAGACCCCACTAGTTACCTGTACACTATTTCAGTCAAATGATGCATCAGTGAGACCCCACTAGTTACCTGTACACTATTTCAGTCAAATGATGCATCAGTGAGACCGCACCAGTTACCTGTACACTATTTCACTCAAATGATGCATTTCTATTGGAATGCAGGCCTGCTTTTTTATTAGCATTTTTAACTTGGGATTTTTGAAGCAGTCCATTTTTGAGTTAATTTACAAACAACACAAAGGCTTCTGTTTTGATCTAGAAAAAAATGGCTGTTGTGAATCTTCCAGGGAAATCAAGACAAATAAATGCAATATTGTGAGGCTGAAGCTCTTCAATATGGAGATAAAAATACCAAAGTTGATTGAAGTCCAATGTTTTTTTTTATCTAGTTGGTTTTGTGCTGGCAAATATCTGGCTCTGTTGGTAGCCCCAACATTTTTAATATCAGTTGTCAGTTAAAACATTCCAATGTAGCTGTGAACTTTGAACTTTTTTCTTCAAACAAATTTTACTTGTAGAAAAAGCCTTTTGAGTTTTCTGTACATAATCATAAATTATTTGCGTTTGTCCTTGCTTAACCTCAAGCCTGGGATTAAAGGCTGCAACTGATGACAGTATCAAGTATGCTTGACAATCTTCTCAACTTACCAGACAAGAAAACTTGACAATCTTCTCAACTTACCAGACAAGAAAACTTGACAATCTTCTCAACTTACCAGACAAGAAAACTTGACAATCTTCTCAACTTACCAGACAAGAAAACTTGACAATCTTCTCAACTTACCAGACAAGAAAACTTGACAATCTTCTCAACTTACCAGACAAGAAAACTTGACAATCTTCTCAACTTACCAGACAAGAAAACTTGACAATCTTCTCAACTTACCAGACAAGAAAACTTGACAATCTTCTCAACTTACCAGACAAGAAAACTTGACAATCTTCTCAACTTACCAGACAAGAAAACTTGACAATCTTCTCAACTTACCAGACAAGAAAACTTGACAATCTTCTCAACTTACCAGACAAGAAAACTTGACAATCTTCTCAACTTACCAGACAAGAAAACTTGACAATCTTCTCAACTTACCAGACAAGAAAACTTGACAATCTTCTCAACTTACCAGACAAGAAAACTTGACAATCTTCTCAACTTACCAGACAAGAAAACTTGACAATCTTCTCAACTTACCAGACAAGAAAACTTGACAATCTTCTAACCTCAACTGACTAGAAAAGAAAACTTGACAATCTTTTGAATCAGCTGGCTAGACTGCAAAACTTGACAAATTTGAAACACACCCTGACACCTATTTGGTAGGTTTACAAAGAATTCCATGCTGCCATAATATCCTGTGAGATTATTTATAAATGGATGTTTATATTTGCATTCATCATGTTCACTTTGTTTCTTGAATTTACCATGCAACTTAATGTTTGCTTGTATTCACATATGGCTGTGTATGTGTTCAACTTGTATTTCGTCTGATTGTATTAAATACATAAACTTAAACAATCTATTCATCATGTTTACTTTCTTGACAAATTGTATTACACTTAACCATGTTGTCTGTGTGCGTGTAAGTTAACTCGATAACATGGGTATTGTTTCAGTTTGATTAATTTCATAAATAACTATTGTATCTGATTTCTAGTTTTCTTTCAAGTTTTGGGCGTTTTCTTATAACCGGAAGTGGTACTTACTCCACTTCATTTCTCAAAAGCCAATAACTTGAGTACCGTTTCAGTTAGATGGACGAAATTTCACTTGTAAATATTTGATTGTGGGTGTAGACTTCTATCTACTTTTCAAACAATTTCCAGTCACCGGAAATGTATTTTATTTCTGCGGCAACATGATCAATTGCTTACTGTTTCAGTTAGGTCGACGAACTTTCATATAAAAGTAAAAGATCTTATTTAAATTTAATTTATTTTTCTTACCAGATCTGAAAATGGTACTTCACTCTATTGTAGGGTTTTAATACAGGGAACCAACTAAACCACGCCTATAGCCACATGTACAGCAGGTCTTAATGAACCAGAGCATCAATCTGTTGCCACATTCCCCCCTCCCCCCACATTTTTATACGTTTTCAAGAATAAAATCTGAATTAAACTTTAAAAGCTCAAAATGTTAGTGTCTGTGCGTGTGTTCGGTTCCTTCAGTGGTCGACCATCTTTGTTTCCTCCCCACCCCTAGAGTAACCAATCTCTACCCAGACCTCCCCACCCCTAGAGTAACCAATCTCTACCCAGACCTCCCCACCCCTAGAGTAACCAATCTCTACCCAGACCGCCTCACTGGATTGTCTACCATTTAAAAGAGTAGCGGGTCGTGGAGTTTTTAAAAAAAACTAATTTTAAATTGGAATTTTTTCAGCCCCAGAATCCCGTGAAAATCGAGTTATTCCCCGCCTCAGAAGACTCGATTAATCTTATGAGACGTGGAAAACTGGCGGCATTTCTTTCCAGAGGTATAACAGGCGGGTATATTGTAGGGGCATTTATTCCCAGAGGTATAAAACAGGCGGGTATATTGTAGGGGCATTTATTCCCAGAGGTATAACAGGCGGGTATATTGTAGGGGCATTTATTCCCAGAGGTCTAATAGGCGGGTATAATATTGTAGGGGCATTTATTCCCAGAGGTATAACAGGCGGGTATATTGTAGGGGCATTTATTCCCAGAGGTATAACAGGCGGGTATATTGTAGGGGCATTTATTCCCAGAGGTATAACAGGCGGGTATATTGTAGGGGCATTTATTCCCAGAGGTATAACAGGCGGGTATATTGTAGGGGCATTTATTCCCAGAGGTATAACAGGCGGGTATAATATTGTAGGGGCATTTATTCCCAGAGGTATAACAGGCGGGTATATTGTAGGGGCATTTATTCCCAGAGGTATAACAGGCGGGTATAATATTGTAGGGGCATTTATTCCCAGAGGTATAAAATGCGGGTATATTGTAGGGGCATTTATTCTCAGAGGTATAACAGGCGGGTATATTGTAGGGGCATTTATTCTCAGAGGTATAAAATGCGGGTATTTTGTAGGGGCATTTATTCTCAGAGGTATAACAGGCGAGATTATTTTAGGGGTATTTCTTCCCAGAGATATAAAAAGCGGGTATATTGTAAGGACAAAGCCGGACGCTTCTAGTTGTTTTTTTTTTCCAGTGAGTTAAGGTGTAGGTGTAGTGTGTCTGTGTGTTTACGTGCAGTGTGTGTTTCTAAGTGTAGTGCGTCTATATAAAATGTAGTTCTGTGTGTGTCTACGTGTAGTCTGTATCTAGGTGTAATATAGTGTGTGTCTGTTTCTACGTTTGTGTTTGTAGTGTGTCTATGCAGTTTGTGTTTACGTGTGTGTCTATATGTAGTGTCTCTACGTGTATTGTGTGTGTATTGTATGTGTCTATATGTACTGTCACTACGTGTATAGTGTTGTGTGACTATATGTAATGTCTCTTCGTGTATTGTGTGTGTATTGTATGTCTTTATGTACTGTCACTACGTGTATTGTGTTATGTGTGTGTGTAGTGTGTCCAATCAGATTAACCCCACACATATTGAAATAGGTCGGGATAAACAGTAAACTAGCCAGTGAGTCAGCTGTAATCAATAGGGCCTGGCTTGCACGTGCACATGTAATTAAAGTACTCACGTCTTTGTCAAGTTTAATAACGCCGTGGACGCTGGGACATAACACCTGTGACCTTGACCGGGTCGGCCGTGGGACAGACAGAACCAGATCTGTGTGACAGCGGTCCCAGATACTTTAATTGACGCCCCACGCCACGATATTGCTTTCAGTAGCACGGCGCATTTTTCGTGCTGTCAGTAGCACGGCGCATTTATTGGTTTCAGTAGCACGGCGCATTTATTGGTTTCAGTAGCATGGCACATTTTTCGTGATGTCAGTAGCACGGCTTATTGGTTTCAGTATCAGCTCTAGCGACTGATCACAAAACGGATCTGTCATCAATGAGAAGAATGCTCTTAGACGTGGAGTAATTTTTTTTCTCTCAACTTTACACTTTGATTGGAGAGAAACTTTCCTAGAGATCTATTTATTGTTATTAGTCGATTGTAGGAAAAAATTCACAGAAAAAAAGCCACAGGAAAAGTCACAAATGTGTATTGGTATTAAATTTGTCGATACTTTTTTGGATAAAGTAAAGAAAGTGCTTATATTCGTAGGATTAATTAACTGTAATATAGGCCTAAACATTTAGATATATAAACGTTGGTTGTATTTGTAGGGTAATATTTATAACACGTAAAAATATTTAGTCTGAAGTATGTAGGTTTTAATTCCGTTATACATATAACATTTAATATAATGTTCTAACCTACTCAGTTTTTAACATTTTTAAAAAATACTAACTTTGAATTAGCGTGAAATGGGAATAATATGTGCTATCCTCACTTCATCGCAACAATAGTTCAGCCACCTTTACTGCCCACGTTTATCACGCTCATTACATAAAAAAAAAGCCAAGGATCACAACAGAAAGCCGACAAGGTACAAAGGCTGTCATTGACGAAATCGTCAACAAGACACAATGTGTAAGACCGACCAAGGAAAGTCCTACGGCAAAAAACACAAGGATGTGCCTTAAGTTCTTTTATGATTTATTTTTCTAGAGGGTATTGAAATAAATATGGAAAAAAATTATTCGAGGCTGTTGTGTAAATTATGTTCTAGTTTTTTTTTTATTAATAACGGTATAACAGTATAGACCGTAATGCTTTTGAAATTTATAAATAAGTTACTAAAAACACCACACACATTAATAAAAACCCAAAATGTTAAAATTCTCAACATATAAATCAAAATATTTCTAAGAACATTTTTATGACTTTTTTCTAGGACTTTTTTTCCATGACTTTATTTTTAATTCTTTATTTCTGCTACTTTTTTCTCATACAATTTTTCCTTTATGACTTTTTCCCTAGCAAAGTCTGTGATTTTTTTTTTGGTGACTTTTTTTTCTAATAATTTATTTGTGACTTTTTTTTCTGTGACATTTTTTTCTGTGACATGTTTCTGTGACATATTTTTGCTCACCACTTAGTCTGGTAGATTGATCCTGATGACAGCATCTGTGGTATGTCCAAATGACATTCTGTGGTAGGTCCAAATGACATATTCTATGGTAGGTCCAAATGACATTCTATGGTAGGTCCAAATGACATTCTATGGTAGGTCCAAATGACATTCTATGGTACGTCCAAATGACATATGCTATGGTACGTCCAAATGACATTCTATGGTACGTCCAAATGACATATGCTATGGTACGTCCAAATGACATATTTTTATGTCAGTTTTAAAATAGAGTTGCGATTGTTTATGTATGGATAGCAAACAGGTTCAAATAAAGGAGAGTAATGAAAAGCTATTTAATATCAACATGCAACACTATCTAAATGGGTTACAGTTGAGAGATTTATCTATTGGATACTTTAATATCAAGCTATTTAATATCAACATGCAACACTATCTAAATGGGTTAAAGTTGAGAGATTTATCTATTGGATACTTTAAAGATTGAAATAATAAATACATAAAAAGCTTTAATTACAATGCACTAAAAAGAAGAAAATAATACAATTTTTAAATATAAAACAGAGGCGTAGCGAGGGGGGGGGGACATATGTCCCCGGGCGCCGACCTTAGGTGGGGGGGGGGGGGCGCCAAAATGGGTTGGAAAAACAAATTGAAAGCAGTGTTTCTTCCAGACTTTTTTCTCCGGGGGGGGGGGCGGTAGACTTTCTACGGGGGGGGGGGGGCGGACACTGTTAAAAGTATATATTTTCTATATAAATTATATAAATTTCATTTCGTTCGGGGGGGGGGGGGGGGGCGGTAAAAAAGTTTCGCCCCCCCCCCCGAAGAGATGCCTGGAAGAAACTGATTGAAAGTTTGAGGGGGGGGGGTGTGCAAATCAGAGGTTCGAGGGGGGGGGGTGCAAATCGAAAGTTTGAGGGGGTGCAAATCGAAACTTGGGCGCCTGGAAGAGTCGCAACGCCTCTGATATAAAACAATTTTAAAAATATAATTAATTTACCGCCAAAAAAAATTGAACTCAATATAAACATTTTTTTTAATCAGGTGTTATACAGTACAAAAACGATCTAATCTAGAAAATCATTGATTAAGCCGAATCTGAGCAAATATCTTGGCATTTGAATAGGTACAGATGCTTCCAAGGTGGTTTAAAAGATTTTTTTGATTTGGCTTGGTAGACATCTGGTCACGTGATTGATATTTACAATTGCTGTTTGAATGAGATTATTTCGGGCAACATGGTCAACTTTGGACAACATGGTCAACTATGGACAACATAGTGGACAACATGGTGGACAACATGGTGGACAACATGGTGGACAACATGGTCAAGTGTGGACAACATGGTCAAATATGGACAACATGGTCAACTTTGGACAACATGGTCAAGGGTGGACAACATGGTCAAATATGGACAACATGGTCAAATATGGACAACATGGTCAAATATGGACAACATGGTCAAATATGGACAACATGGTGGACAACATGGTCAACTATGGACAACATGGTCAAATATGGACAACATAGTCAACTATGGACAACATGGTCAAATATGGACAACATGGTCAACTTTGGACAACATGGTGGACAACATGGTCAACTATGGACAACATGGTCAACTATGGACAACATGGTCAAATATGGACAACATGGTCAAATATGGACAACATGGTGGACAACATGGTCAACTATGGACAACATGGTCAAATATGGACAACATAGTCAACTATGGACAACATGGTCAAATATGGACAACATGGTCAACTTTGGACAACATGGTGGACAACATGGTCAACTATGGACAACATGGTCAACTATGGACAACATGGTCAAATATGGACAACATGGTCAAATATGGACAACATGGTCAACTATGGACAACATGGTCAAATATGGACAACATGGTCAACTATGGACAACATGGTCAACTATGGACAACATGGTGGACAACATGGTCAACTATGGACAACATGGTCAAGTGTGGACACCATGGTCAAGTTTGGACATAAAGCACTAAAAGTGCCCTGCAATTAATTACTAAACGTCTGATAGCTCTTGACTAGAGACGCTAAAAGGAAATATGCTAATGAGGGTCATGTGACCAACGCGTCACCGCATGTCGTGTGCTTACATTTTGTTCCATTAGCCAATAATTTATTTCCAATAGAAGATGACCACACCCTTTCCTCCCGAGAGGCCAAAAATCTAAAGATTGTGTTTTAAAATTAACCGTGATTTAATGAATACAGTATTAGGAATAAAATGTTCTTCACTTTCAGAAATTGTACAGTATTCACCCACGCGTAATGTGTTGAGCATGTTTACCGTATTCCCCTACCTATCCTGTAGGTAACAATCAATAAGGCTGTGCTAGTCGTCTGACCTGGCCTCACACCTGTTACTTCCCTGTGATAGCTCCACGCGCTCTCAGCCTCCATCAAACTCTCGCTGACGTCTCGAACTTCTACGAGGACTATGGCGAAAGCTTTCGATTTCTAGACAATAGGCTAATGAAAAATGGCATGTTTTTTTTTAAATTTTAAAACGCATTTGTTCAAATATAATGATCATTCCGTGTAGTAAAATATATCAGTTGATGGTCACATCTGGCCCATGATTGATTCAAGTCCTAAATTTTCCCATAAGCCACCGGTGACCTTATAGTGGCTCGCGCGCTGTCAACTATATTCGTAGCACGAGCCGCGCAGGGGAGATAATTGAATCATACTACACACTGTAACAGTTGGAGGGAATACTGGTGAGTGGTGGATGTTAACGGCTGTTTGACTCAACACGTGCATCGTCCAGCAGGTAAACATTTCTGTGCTTTTTTAAAAACTCATCTAAATGCGTATGATGGGGAGGGGTTAAGGGTAATTGTTGTCATTTGAAAATATTTTTATGGTGACAATTTTTTAAACTTAACGGACGTGAGCCTCTTTTGATTAAAGTTAAAACGGTACCGTCTGACAGTTTTAGATTGAAAACAAGTTTCAACATGGTCATCTAGAGTTTTTAACCAGTTTAAGGTTGGTCATCTAGAGTTTTTAAGTTGGTCATCTAAAGTTTTTAAGTTGCTCATCTAGACTTTTTAAGTAGGTCATCTAGACTTTTTTAGTTGGTCATCTAGACTTTTTAAGTAGGTCATCTAGACTTTTTTAGTTGGTCATCTAGACTTTTTAAGTTGGTCATCTAGAGTTTTTACGTTGGTCACCTAGAGTTTTTAAGTTGGGGATCGTCCATAAATGACGTCACACTCGTAGGGGGGATGGGGGTCCGTACTTTTGTGACAGCGTGTGATGAGGGGATGGGGGGGGGGGGGGTTCAGATAGTGTGACGTCACTTTTTTGCATTATAAAGCAATGTTAGAAAACAAGATTTAGTCGTTATTTCGCGTTTTAGAAGACGGTATTAAAAATTGTAATAGGAATTGATCAAAATACTATATGCTGACAGAGGAAAAATACCGATGTTTTAAGAAAAATTCAACAGCAATTTTGAGGGGGGGGGGGGGTTGAAGGCTGAGGTGTGACGTCATTTTAGGGGAGGGAGTCTGGCTTCTTGTGACGACGTGTGACGGAGGGGAGGGGGGGGGGAGGTAAAAATCGTCAAAAAAGCGTGACGTCATTTATGGATGACCCCTTGGTCATCTAGACTTTTTAAGTTGGTCATCTAGACTTTTTAAGTTGGTCATTTAGACTTTTTAAGTTGGTCATTTAGACTTTTTAAGTTGGTCATTTTGACTTTTTACGTTGGTCATCTAGACTTTTTAAGTTGGTCATTTAGACTTTTTAAGTTGGTCATTTAGACTTTTTACGTTGGTCATTTAGACTTTTTAAGTTGATCATCTAGACTTTTTAAGTTGGTCATCTAGACTTTTAAGTTGGTCATTTAGACTTTTTAAGTTGGTCATTTAGACTTTTTAAGTTGGTCATCTAGACTTTTTAAGTTGGTCATCTAGACTTTTTAAGTTGGTCATCTAGACTTTTTAAGTTGGTCATCTAGAGATTTTTTTAGTTTCAAAATTTTGTTACGGCAGTGCACAGTACGGCACATAATCTAAGTGACGTGTACCGGACAGTGACGGCAGTGTACTGGCACAGAATGCCGGCACAACGGCTCTAAATAATTTGAATGGCGTTCAGATGAATAGTTAGTTGCCCAGGGCTGAATTTATTAGCATACGCACAAATGTATGACGCGTGTGGTCACGTGTTTCCCGTGGATTTGGTTGCGAGGAAGAGAAGTAATAGGGCTCATATTTTACTATTTTGTTGTAACAGATCCATTGTTTACAAACTGATGTACCCTGAGCGTGTTAACAAACATATATCTTAGCGTGTTAACAAACTGATATATCCTTGGCGTGTTAACAAACAGATATATCCTTGGCGTGTTAACAAACAGATATATCCTTGGCGTGTTAACAAACAGATATATCTTGGCGTGTTAACAAACAGATTTATCTTAGCGTGTTAACAAACAGATATATCCTTGGCGTGTTAACAAACTGATATATCTTAGCGTGTTAACAAACAGATATATCTTAGCGTGTTAACAAACAGATATATCTTAGCGTGTTAACAAACTGATATCCCTCTGTCCTCGAGTTGTGTTAATGTCAACAAAAGATTGAGACCCGCCGACTTTAAAATTTTAGCCACATCCTTATTGCCAGGGTTGTCCAGAGCCACATCCTTATTGCCAGGGTTGTCCAGAGCCACATCCTTATTGCCAGGGCTGTCCAGAGCCACATCCTTATTGCCAGGGCTGTCCAGAGCCACATCCTTATTGCCAGGGCTGTCCAGAGCCACATCCTTATTGCCTGGGTTGTCCAGAGCCACATCCTTATTGCCTGGGTTGTCCAGAGCCACATCCTTATTGCCTGGGTTGTCCAGAGCCACATCCTTATTGCCTGGGTTGTCCATATTTTTTGGTCGTTTTTTTTGTCGCAAGATTATGTCAGTGACAATTTGACGCACGTCTATACGTCAGTGACAAGTTGCCGCACGTCTATATGTCAGTGACAAGTTGCCGCACGTCTATACGTCAGTGACAAGTTGCCGCACGTCTATACGTCAGTGACAATTTGCCGCACGTTTATATGTCAGTGACAAGTTGCCGCACGTCTATATGTCAGTGACAATTTGCCGCACGTTTATATGTCAGTGACAAGTTGCCGCACGTCTATATGTCAGTGACAATTTGCCGCACGTTTATATGTCAGTGACAAGTTGCCGCACGTCTATATGTCAGTGACAATTTGCCGCACGTTTATATGTCAGTGACAAGTTGCCGCACGTCTATATGTCAGTGACAATTTGCCGCACGTTTATATGTCAGTGACAAGTTGCCGCACATCTATATGTCAGTGACAATTTTCCGCACGTCTATACGTCAGTGACAAGTTGCCGCACGTTTATACGTCAGTGACAATTTGCCGCACGTCTATACGTCAGTGACAATTTTCCGCACGTCTATACGTCAGTGACAAGTTGCCGCACGTTTATATGTCAGTGACAAGTTGCCGCACGTTTATACGTCAGTGACAAGTTGCCGCACGTTTATATGTCAGTGACAAGTTGCCGCACGTTTATATGTCAGTGACAAGTTGCCTCTGTGGCCCCAAGGTGTAAGTGTGACGCCACTATATGTGTATGGCCTTCATAGTGCCGCTGTCTGCCGGTGGCCCAACTGTATGGCCCTATGGCCCAACTGGTGGAGCGTGGCGAGAACATAGCGCCAGGAAGCTGGAGACGAATTTATTATGAGAAACCGGAAACCGGACAACGGAAACCGGACAACGGAAGAAATGGGAAAATATGAAACCTGAACGTCAGAAGACTGGAGGAAGAGAGTGGGTGTCAACTTCTTCAGAAACTTTAGTTTGCCTTTGTTACCATAGCAACACAGGACCTAAAGATTTTCTATAAAACTGTCAGATGTCAGATGTATGAATATTGGAGTGGTCAGATATTGCAGTGGTCAGGTATTCGAGTGGTCAGATATTGGAGTGGTCAGATATTGGAGTGGTCAGATGTGTGAATATTGGAGTGGTCAGATATTGGAGTGGTCAGATATTGGAGTGGTCAGATATTGGAGTGGTCAGATGTGTGAATATTGTGGCCCCCAGTCGTGCAACCACTTGTGGGAGGCTTGTGAAGGAGACAGCAGAACATAATTATGTGCTGAAAAAAGAGACCACACGACAAGAATTTTACACCATTTCACCCACCCCTCCCCTCGGCCCCTCCGGACCTAAATGCCATAGGAAACAGTGATCAATGCCCCGAAAAGTTGAGACAGCTCCATCACACGCGGTCCCTAACACAAGGGCGGCCATCATTAATCTTTTATCTCTTTAGGGGATACCGTAAAACATTGGACTTCCGGTCCCTGTCTACAAAAACCAATCAGGGCGGCCATGTTGTCAAAGTCCGTCCCCACGTGGTCACCCCCCCCCCCCAACATGATAACGATGTCGAGCATAAGTGACGTCATTTCTGACACCAGCCTGTTTGTTATTTGTCCCATAACTTTCTTGCCGTCGTGTGCTATCATTTTTGTCCTACAACTTTCTTGCCGTCGTGTGCTATCATATTTGTCCTACAACTTTCTTGCCGTCGTGTGCTATCATATTTGTCCTACAACTTTCTTGCCGTCGTGTGCTATCATATTTGTCCTACAACTTTCTTGCCGTCGTGTGCTATCATATTTGTCCTACAACTTTCTTGCCGTCGTGTGCTATCATATTTGTCCTACAACTTTCTTGACGTCGTGTGCTATTATATTTGTCCTACAACTTTCTTGCCGTCGTGTGCTATCATATTTGTCCTACAACTTTTTTGCCGTCGTGTGCTATCATATTTGTCCTACAACTTTCTTGCCGTCGTGTGCTATCATATTTGTCCTACAACTTTTTTGACGTCGTGTGCTATCATATTTGTCCTACAACTTTCTTGCCGTTGTGTGCTATCATATTTGTCCTACAACTTTCTTGACGTCGTGTGCTATCATATTTGTCCCATAACTTTCTTGCCGTCGTGTGCTATCATATTTGTCCTCAGTGGCGTCAAAAAGCGGGGGTGAGGTGGGGGTGACAACCGACCTAGTGACGTCATTGTTTGTCAAACTACTGACGCCACATTTGTCCGCAGCTGTCCTGACGCTATCATTTGTCCTTCATTAAAAAAATAATGGCTAGGTCCTAGCTCAAAGACAATATTGATTTTTACGGACAGGGAAAATGGCCAATTTAGGTGAACCCAGCATTAAAGAATATCATTTTTCACATAAATTATGTAGATTATATGCACGTGACAAACACTCTCGTGAGTATAGTACCACAAACACGCTGGTCTAACATAAAGCAGGGGCGGAACTACAGTGCCGCCAGATCCCGCAATGCGGGGGGGGGGGGGGGGGAGGGGGGGCACTCCATTTAGGGGCACATAGCCGACCATAATAAATTTGTTATAGTTAAAAAAAATTTCTTGCATTTTCGACTTGACGGTAAAAGCTTTTGTAAAAAACAAACAGATCTACTACAGTTGTGATGTTATACAGTAGCTAACACATGCTGTTGCGTAAAGAAAAATATATGCCTGATCTGTAATGTGAAAGATAGGCAAACGTTCAAAACACTTCCATGACTTATTTCCCTTTTATAAATAGTTAAATAGGAGTGCTCATATGCTCCTTTTGATATATTTGTACTAAACAAATTAAAAAGCAATTAGTTCTCTTAATTATTATTTTAAAAAAAAATTTAAACTAAAGACTGACATAGGAAAAAAAAGGAAACAGTTAAA